TACATACAAAAATAAAATGGAAAACTATCCTTGGGTGAGGATTACCACCACCACCCCCAAATAATAACAAATGTGTGCAGAATCTGGCCACTTCTCAGTAGCTCCATCACAAAGATCATGGGCTCCTACCTGGATTATCAAAGCAGCCTCTGGACAGGTCTCCTGGCTTCTACTCTGCCCCCTTGAGGTCTATTTTTGATTCAGTAGCAGCCAGAGGGATCCTTTCTTTATTTATTTTATTAATATTATTATTTATTAATTTATTTATTTAATCCTCACCGGACCGCATTTTTGCATTTATCTTCAGATAGAGCAGGAGGGAGAGAGGGAAGGAGAGAGAGAGAGAGAAAAACATCGATGTGAGAGAGACACATCGACTAGTTGCCACCCACATGACCCTAACCAGGGCCGGGGACAAACTGCAACCAAGGTACGTGCTCTTAGCGGGAACCGAACTCGGGTCTCTCTGGTCTGTGGGCTGACAGGCTAACTGCTGAGCAAAACTGGCCAGGGCTATTTTATTATTTTTTTAATTGATGTTTTTAGAGAAAGAGGAAGGGAGAGGGAGAGAAAGTGAGAAACATCAGTCTAACTCACTACCTGGGCATGTGCCCTGACAGAGAATCGAAACAGCGACCTTTTGGTGCATGGGACCATGCTCAACTAACTGAGCCACACCAGCCACAGCCAGAGGGATCCGTTAAAAATGTTCATCATGCCCTGGCCGGTTTGCTCAGCGGTTAGAGCGTTGGTCCATGGACCGAAGAGTCCTGGGTTCGGTTCCTGCTAAGGGCACGTACTTCGGTTGCAGTTTGTCCCCAGCCCCGGTTGGGTCGTGTGGGTGGCAGCCACTTGATGTGTCTCTCTCACATCAATGTTTCTCTCTCTCTTCCTCCCTCTCTCCCTCCTGCTCTATCTAAAGATAAATGCAAAAAAAATGTCCTCGGGTGAGAATAAAAAAAGAAAATGTTCATCAGATCAAGTCACTTGGCTTAAAATCCTTCACAGACCCCCCCCATTTCCAAGGCCCCATACATTCTGTGCCCCATGACCTCTGACCCCCCTCTTCTGCACCATCCCAGGCTCCTCTGTGTTCCTGGACCTCACCAGACATCCCCCAGCCCTCGGAGCCTCCACGGCTGTGAAATGCGCCATGGCTTCACCTAGGCCTTTGGTCCCCTTTTCACTGAGTCCTTCTTACATCCCCTGCCGCACCCTCCCCTCTGATACACTACATCCCGACTGTGTGTCCCACCTCTAGAATGTCAGCTCTGTGACAACAGGGAGTTTGCCGTGGTGCTTATTGCCATCTCCCCACTGGTAGATACTTAATGCGTGATGTTAACGACTTAAAGAGAATGCAGATGCACGCAAGAACCCAGAGGAATAAGGTTACCACCAGCCCAGCCCTCCTACACCTTCCTTGGCCAGCAAAGCAGGGTTCCCCTCCCACCCCCGCAGCTCTCATGAGGGAATTGCTTTGCAGCAGGGACCAACTCTTCTCATGCCCCTTCTCCCCAGCTCCCTGACATCTCCGGTGCCTTACACTAGAGTAAGTTCCAGCATGTCTGGAGACCTTATTCGAAAGTCAAACCCAGAAGGGAAGGCTTATATAACCAAAGAATGATAAGACTTTATTTTATGTTGGCCAAAATATGGAGAATATGTGGGGAAAGACTGAGGTCCTGGACCAAGGAAGTAGGACTATACGTCTGGCTTGTGCTGAATGTATCAGTACAGGTCCACTTGCAAGAAATTCTGGACACGGGTGCTGACTTGGGCTGTTGGGGTGTTCTGCATGCCTGTGTGCTTGGCTGAAGTGAAGCTGGGTCTCTCTAAATGCGGTGGAGATGCCCAAATCTCCCTGGTAGAATGTAGAGGGAAGAATGCAAAGCCTCGGGGACATTCGCTGATTCGTTCACAATAAATACTGGGCTGAGTTTATTACAGACAGCTCACCTTTTCCCCGAGGGCCTGGGGAGGGCCCAGAAGGCCCCCTCAGCGGGACCTTGGCAGCTAGCTCACTGCAGTCTGTTCACTGGGGCTGCTGTAACAAAGTGCCCCATCGAGCGGCCTGAACAACGGGAGGTTACTGTCGTTCTGGAGGCTGGGAGTTTGTTTTGTTTTTGTTTTTTATCCTCACCTGAAGACATTTTTGCATTCATCTTCAGATAGAGTGGGAGGAGGAGAGGGAAGAAGAGCGCGAGGGAAACATCCATGTGAGAGAGACACATCGACTGGCTGCCATCTACACGACCCCAACTGGGGCCGGGGATAAACTGCAACCGAGGTACGTGACCTTAGCAGGAAAGGAACCCGGGTCTCTCTGGTCTGCAGGCCGACGCTCTAACCGCTGAGCCAAACCGGCCAGGGCGAGGCTGGGAGTTTGAAAGATGTCAGCAGGGCCCTGCTCTCTCTCTCTGAAGGCATCAGGGGATTTTGGATTGAGGGCCCGCCCCACTCCAGTATGACCTCATCTTAACTTTGCAATGACCCTATTTCCATATAAAGTCATATTATGAGGTCCTGGGGGTTAAGTCTTCAATGTAGGGGCAGGGGGCAATTCAACCATAATCAACTCCATAGTGTCTGTTCTACATGTGCCAGGGCTTCTGATGGGAGATGCTCTAGTTGAAATGGCTCCTTGATTTCAATGCAGATACCAGGACCCTGGGTGACAGGGCTGAGTAGCGGTGTCGAGCTGCCAGAGGAGAGAGGTGCGCAGCAGGACTTACCTGATGCAAGAACAAAATAGCTGGCCTGGCTCGTGTGGCCCAGTGGTTGAGCGTCGACCCATACACCAAGAGGCTGCAGGTTCGATTCCTGGTCAGGGCACATGCCCAGGTTGTGGGCCGGATCCCCAGTGAGGGGCATGCAGGAGGCGGCCAGTTGATGTTCTCTCTCATCGATGTTTCTATCTCTTACTCCCTCTCCCTTCCTCTCTCTAAAATCAATAAAGAAAAAAAATTATATTAAAGAAAAAAAAGCTGCCCTGGCCAGTTTGGCTCAGCGGTTAGAGCGTCGGCCTGCGGTCTGGAGAGACCCGGGTTCGGTTCCCGCTAAGGGCATGTACTTCGGTTGCAGTTTGTCCTTGGCCCTGGTTGGTCGTGCGGGTGGCAGCCACTCGATGTGTCCCTTCACGTCGATGTTTCTCTCTCTCTCTCTCCCTCCCACTCTATCTGTACAAAAAATGGAAAAATGTCCTCGGGTGAGGATAAAAAAAAAAAAGAAAGAAAAAAAAGCTGGAGGGCTGGCCAACAGCCCCACTACGGCAGGCAGGATTTCGCACTGCTTCCCCAGACACGATCAGCTCGCCATCCCAGGCCCTGCGCAGAGGAAAGTGGGGTTGGCACATTCCCTCCCCTCCCTCCCGTGGCCGCTGACCAGGGTGTGCGACACTGGTTCGGCCACAAAGGCATGCTTCACTTAGAATAAAGCAGTTCTGTTCAAACACCAATGTGCCCAGCCCCAGGGAATAAATAACGATGCAACACTCTCCTTTGTAGGTGATAATTAGATTTTACTTTATTTATTAATACATAATTATTATGACTATAACTCAAATGTTGCTGAAACTAATTTCTTTTTTTTTTTAAATATGTTTTTATTGCCCTGGCCAGTTTTTCTCAGTGGTTAGAGCGCCGGCCCGCGGACCAATGAGTCACAGGTTCGATTCTGGTCAAGGGCACGTACCTCAGTTGCGGTTCGTCACCAGCCCTGGTCGGGTGGTGCAGGAGGCGGCCAGTTAATGTGTCCCTCTCACATTGATGTTTCGCTCTCTATCTCTCTCTTTTCCTCCCTCCCACTCTATCTGAAGATAAATGGAAGAATATCCTCAGGTGAGGATTAAAAATATATCTATATATCTATATGTTTTTATTAATTTTAGAGGGAGAGGAAGAAACATCTATGAGAGAGAGAAACATCAGTTGGCTGCCTCCTGCATGCCCCCTACCAAGGATCAAGCCCACAACCCAGGCATGTGCCCTGAACCGGTGACCTCGGTGCATGGGACAATGCTCAACCAAGCAACACTGGCCAGAGCTGAAACTAATTTCTTTACAACATTTCATTCAATCTAAATATCCTCTGATCCTACCTAATGGCCATTATTTCCTAGCAGCCCAAAATGCCACAAAATTCTTCAACATGACAACATATAATCGCTCTTTCCACGTTGCGGTAGAACATTGAACCCAAAGAAACATTTTGATAGTTATATTTTGTTCCTTCTGCTATTGCTTTGCTACTAAAATTCTTCAACAACTTCTTCAAAAAGTGCTGAATACTCCAAGGAGGTCGGGGTCCACCCCAGGAACTCAGTGCCAAAACTCAGGATGAGGACCACTGTGCTGCCCCCCAACATCGCCCACCAGGTCACAGTGAACAGCCCAGAGCCTCCAGATCTGTCACCCACCGTGACACAGCTGGGTAAGGCAGAGCCATGTCTGTTGGCAACCCCGAACCACCCACCCTCTGTGGCAGCCCAGCCACAGCCACCCCTGCGCTGACACACTGGGGGAGGCGCAGGTGGGCACCTGGCCATGCCCAGCCCCATCATGTCCACCGAAGACCCCTGCTACCTGCCCTCCTAACAGCCCCGCCCCGGGGCAGGAGGTGTAGAAAATCAAGTGAAATTCTGAGGCATGGCAAAGGGAAAACCCTGCCCGTCGCCATCTTTGCCAGCCCAGAGGGAGGTGACAAACTAGCCAACACGCCCCCTCCATAGCGCCGTGCCGCCCTCCATCCTTGACACAGACCCCGGTTCTCCTCCCCAAGGATGCCAACATTTGGGACCCACATTTCCAGGGACGTAGAACCCTCTGCTTAATGGTGTTTCACCCTCGGTCCTCCCACACTGCCTCCTGCTCAGGAGCGAGGGCCCAGGGCTCACTCCAGGGAAAGACAGTTTTCTTTCCAGAGAGGGGTAGGCCCGGGGTGGGGGGGCGGAGAGACCACAACATGGGGGTCTGCAGAGCTGGCCACAAAATACAACCTTACATTAGGATTTTAGAAAAGTATTTATTGCAAAGAGTGCTGGACACAGCGTGATGTGCGGCTGAGATCCCACACCACCCACTGCAGGGCGAGCAGAACACCTGCGACACGACACATGCATTGTGCTGTCATGGCTCAAACCTGGCAGCAACCGGTGGTGCCCGCGCAGAGACCAGTGGGGCAGAGGTGGGAGGGCTGCCCAAGCCCATCCTGTGACCCCAGACTTCCTTCTGCCCTAGCCCAGACCTCGGGACACACCAGGTTCAACAGCTCCTGACCGTCCTCTGGACACAGGGCAAAAAGGCCTTACTGGCCTCACCTCAGCCAGCCTGAGGTCCCAGAGAGGTGGTGACATCCAGATGTATGTGCACTAACCAAAGGGACCCACTATGGCTAGCAAGTGAGTATGTCCATGTGACCAAAAGTCACCAAAACTCCAGTGGACACAGAAACAAAGGCTGAAGTCCCCCATCCCAAAGGCTGTGGCATGGTCCTCTGGCCCTGGGGCTCCGACAGGAGAAATGTCCAGGAGGCTCCTGCCCGGCCTCGCCTGGGCATCTCTGCACCGTGTCTGTCCACAGCCGCTGCAGCACGTACGAGTGAGACCGCCGGCAGGGCCGGGGCAGACTCCTCCCAGGGCAGGCGGCACTGCAGGCGAAGCCCGAGGGGCTGGGAAGGTGGGCTGTCCTGCCAGGTGCCGCCTAGGAAGGGCTGCAGGTCTTGAGATCCTGGGGCCCGGCTCCGGCAGGCCCACCATGCACGGCAGGCATCCAACTACAGATCCAGACACCTTCTCACCCAGCCCCCACTGCTGGCTAGTCTGCCCTGCTATAAAATGAAGCCGAAACCTGATGCCAGGCCTGCCCCTCTGGGCCCAAAAGAACTCAGGGGCATGGCAGATGGCAGACTCCCCGAGGTCATTTTCAACAGGCTCCTGTGCACTGAATCAAACACATGATGTGTCGGGGGAAATCCTCCCTGGACAGGCTGCCTCCAGGTTCCGGCCTCCGCCAGGCTGTCCCGCAGATGGAGGTGAACCAATGCCAGGGCAGGCTTCACAGGACCCCAGGCCTCTCCAAACCATTCACAGCACACACACGTCCCTGCCCCAGTGCACAGGACGGGTGGGTGGGGGAGATGGGACGGCAGGTGCGCGGGAAGGGTGACGCACACAACAGCCATCCTGCCCTGGTTGCGCCGTGAGAGCAGCCAGAAGGGGCAGCCTTGGCCAGCGGCTCCCAGAGTACTCCAGTGTGCGTGCCTGGCAGGGGCGACCACAGATGCTGGGCTCCCTGCATGTTTCTGCGCCTCCCGCTGTGCTGTGAGCCGGCTGCTTCCCTGAGCGGCCCAGACAAGAGCCTGGCTGGCCCAGGTGTCCGTGGTGGCTGAAGCCCTTGTCCCTCGCAGGGCAGGAGGAAGAGGGCTCTCACCTGGGCAGCAGAGCGCAGGAGCCCAGGAAATCTTGCCTCTTGTGCCTCTGGCTCAGGAATTGCCACAGATGGGCCAGCAGGGCCCCTGCAGGGGTCCCCAGACACACCCCAGGCAGCTTGGCCATGGGGGGAACATCCCATTTCTGGGTTTCACACTTCACGAAGCCAATCCAAAAGTGAGAAAAAAACACATGAAAGCCACCAAGAAGGGCCAGGTGCTGGGAAAACTCTCACCAACCCGGCGCAGGCACAGTCTGGCTGAATCATTTTTAGCTGCAGGTTAGGCACCAGATGCAAACAACCCCATCACTGTCAACAGGAAACAGGTGGACTGGGGCAGGGTTCTGGGCACCACCAACCACACATGGCTTTGAAAGTGCTCTTACACGGTGACTGTCACGTGGACCGGATGCCTGGAATGACCTTTACTGCAGAGATCAACATCTGCCCGGGGATCACAGTGGATGAGACAGGGTCACTGGTGAGCAGGGACCGTGACAAGGGCTTCCTCTGGAGGCCTCGAGATGTCTACATTCTGCACAAAAATAAAAACACAGGACATTCACTCCGGAGCAAGAACAGACGGATGCCCGCTGCCCACTGCCTGCTTTCCACACTGCTGTGGGCGTCTGGGCTCACATTCTTGCCCTGAGGAGCCCTGCTGCAGGACTCCAGACCCCAGCCTTCCCCAAGAGCGAGGGCTTGAGAGCCTCTGACTGCATGGCTGGTGGACAAGCCCAGGAACAAAAGTGGGGGCTGAGGATGTCCGGGATCCCCGCTTGCCCCTTGCTCCTTGAAGTCAGGCCTCAGCACAAAGGATGCTTGTTAGAATGACTTCCCTTGTGACCTGTGGCTGCCAGACGGGGTTTGGACCAGACCTCAGGGCAAATGGGGACGAGGCCTGCACGGTTACAGGTCCTGGTGAGGTGCAGTAGCTTTGGGAAGACACACCCGCACATGTCTGCCTGAGGGGCTCAAGGCCAAGAGGCTGCCCAGAGCCCAGAATGCCCATCGAGGGTGGCAGCAGGCTCCGGGAGACTTCATGCTGCTGGAGACTCTGGGACTAGGGTTTGGAAGGGGCGGTCTGCCCTTGGTCTCAGCGGGAGAGGAAGCCAGTGTGCCAGGACCCCATGTGGGCAGAGAAGCAGTGTGGGAAACACTTCAAGGAGCTTCTGTCTTAAACAAGGCACTGGGAACACAGGGTGGCGAGTGCGCTTCTGCAGGAAAAATGTCTGCCCGGTGCCGAGAGCCCCTCGGCATCTGCATGCCCTTTTCCCCAACACAACACACCATTTTAATTTTTAAAGGTGCTTGAGTTTCCAAAAGGTGCCCGTGAGGCCTCAGTTGCTAGGCAAGAATGGAAGACTCCTCACCTGCCCCCTTGTAGGCCTCCAGCCTCTTCCCCAGCTGGGACCACCTCCTTGGCTCCGACCTCTACCGTGGGCTGCTGGGGCGCCAGCCACACCCGGCTCAGGTGGCCCAGCTCCAGGGACTTCCCCAGCCCTGGGGCACGGCCCCCCCTGCAGACAGGAGAGCCGCCTCCCCCTGGCAGGAGCCCCCGCTGGGCCTGGCCCAGAAGATCCTGAGCCCAGACAGCTCCAGGAACCCGCTGTTGTACCTGAGGCCTCTCCCGGTGCGTGTTCACAGCCACCACGTTCAGGAATATGGACTCCACTTTACAGCCTGCCAAAGGAAGCCGCAGAACCATTCCCACCAGAAAGGCAGCTGGAGCCACAGGCGGGGAACCTTCCCTCAGGAGGGGGGGGGGATGCGAACAGAGCAGGCGTCTCCGCCTCACCCCAGTCCTCCCTCCCTGGGCGGCTCTGGGCCCGAGGAAGGACAGGCACCTTGTCAGGCCCCTGCTTATCGAATACCATTGCCCGGCACAGCCTCAGGGAGCAGCCCAGACACCAAGCAGGGCACACTGAGGACCGGGCTGCTGGCACAGCCCAAGGCAGAGGCGGGACTCAAACCATACTGCACCCAGAATATTTTAAGGTCCTGGTCCTGGAGGCCAGGGGGCTTCGTGGGGGTTTTGGGAAAACCCGTGAAAAAGCCCTTCATGCGGGCGGGTGATGATTAAGGAGGGTCACTGCGGAGGCTTCCGGGAAACAAAAACATTTAAAAGCAACCTGGGACAGGTAGGGGTAGAGGAAGGAGGGGGAGCCCCTAATGGAAGTTTCTAGGGATCTGCAGAAAGTCCCGGAGCCTGTAGACAGCCAGAGCCCGGCCGCCAGGTCAGAGTGCAGGGAGCTTCCTTACCGTAGGCCACGGGGGTCAGCTTCAGCACCGTGTGCAGCGGACACTTGAGGTAGGGCAGTTGTTCTGTGGATACAGACGGGGGGGCTGGCACACTGGGGATGCCCGGGGCACAGTCCCGCTCTCTCACACACACACCCTACCCCCGGGGGCGGGCCGCACCTGCCGCCTTGTCCAGGAAGTAGGCCAGGAGGCAGCGCATCACTGCCTGGTGGCAGATGACCAGCACATTCTCTTGCCTTTCCAGCTCCATGATGACAGGCTCGAGCCGCTGGACCAGGTCCTCGTAGGACTGCAAGGGCAAGCAGGAAGGGTCACTCAGGCCCAGCTCCGGGAGTAGGGATGAGCCACCTGGGCAGTGGGCACCCCATCAGTATGCTGGAGGCTGTGGCTAGGTCTCCTCCAGCCTAACTCCTGAGGGCACGGGGGTGGGCAGCTCAGTGCTGGCCTGCCCACCCCAGGGCTGTGACAGTGACATGTCACCTTGACAGGGAAGCTGGGACGCCAGTGAGGATTGGCAGTCTGGGAAAGAGATCACCTCCCCCAGCCCAGGGCCAGGTCCCAGTAGGAAGAGAGGGCGAGGCTGGGCCTCAGGCTGCCATCCCAAGGGGTCACTGCTGTGTCCATCCACAGGACCCTTTGACGAACCCTCAGCTGCTGGAATTCTCATGCTGGTACTGGTGACGTGGAAAAGACAAGGCTCCCTTCTAGCTCACAGCAGACGGGGGTGCACAGAAGGAGCCATGGGGCAGAGGGAGCAAAGACCCGCCAAACTTCCAGAGTGTGGCCTATCAGAACAGGTGAGGTCCCAGGAACCCTCCGTCGGCCTGCCCACTGGGAGGAGCCTTGGGGGCCCTTAGCCAACCCTGTGCCCAGTAGGTTTGGTGATTTCACCAGGAGGCTGGGTCCTGGCGGGGGATGGGGTGGGGCATCCTTCTTTGCACACAGTGAGTGGTCCTTCACAAAAGGCCCCCCCACTTTGACCTGGGAGCACCTCCAGTAGTAGTTGGGGGAAGCCCTAACTGCTTCTTGGTAGCTGTGAACCCTGCTAGCTGGCCCAGCCCCTGGATTCTCAAGGGTGAGCTTTGCACTGCCAGCAGGGCTGGTGCCACATCTCAGCTCTGCCTCACGGCATGGTGGGGGTAAGTAATGCTGCCCAGAGCGGCCTGTTCCTGAAGACAGGACAGCACAGGCCTGTAGCCTGGCATCCAGGGTCGGGGCTTCTGTGCGTGGGCGCACATGCATCTGTGGGAGGTATTTTTATTTGGCCTGTCCCAGGTCACCCCTTGGAAGTGGGAGACACCAGAGTCAAAGTGACCCCGTTTCTGACCTGGGGCCTAGGCTGAGGCAGGAGCCATTCTGAGGGGATGTGACAAGCGCAGGTGGCTTGTGGTGGCCACACCTCCTTTGGGAAGGTCTCCTTAGGTCCAGATTCGGGGCTGGGGGTGATGTCTGAAGCTGCAGGGAGTAGGATCACCCTGGGACACCCCCGAGAATGGGGAAGGCAAAGTGAGGGGCAGCGGGGATCAGGGATCCAATGGGCCTCAGGGTGGGGAGTCCTGTGCAGCACTGTCCTTCCACCACCCAAGGAGGGGACCGCAGCCCGGGCCACACAGCCGGAAGGGGCAGAGATGACACACACAGCCTGGCCAGGCCTCCTGCTGTCCCCGAAGAGCCCCACAGAGCCGCAGTCCTTCCAGGCAGGCAGCGGGTGCCTGAGACCAAGCTCCCAAATCCCACCTACCTCTCCCTTGGGGTACCGGTACCGGTACTTGTCCTGGTCCCGCAGGGCAAACTCCAGTGGATAATGATCCTGGATTTCCTCGTAGGTCATTTCCTCACAGACGCCCTAGGGAGACACCTCAGTTGTCACACCTCCCATGCCAGGGGGGTCAGCCCTGTGGGGGTGGGGCAGCAGGCAGAGGGTACCGGGTTCCTGGGCCAAGCGGCCCTCCTGGTCTGAAACTTGGACCCAGCAGACAAAAAAAAGGCTCAAATTATAAAAGTTAGAAATAAAAGAGGGGCATTATTACCAAACTTATAGAAATAAAAAGGATTACATGGGGCTATTAATTTATATGAAATAGGAAAATTTCTACAAAGACACAAACTACCTGCTGTGAGTTGAATGTGTCCATCCCAAAAAGCTATTTTGGATCCTTAAACCTTGAGAGCTCTGAATGTGACCTTATTTGGAAATAGGGTCTTTGCAGATAGAATCAAGTAGTTGAGGTCATCAGAGTGAGTCCCAATCCAAAGACTGGTGATCTTTCAAGAAGGCCATGTGATGACGGAGACACACACAGGGAAGGAGTCCATGTGACGACAGAGGCAGGGATTGGGATGGGGTAGCTGAAGGCTAAAGAATTCCAAGGATTGTTGGCAACACCAGAAACTTGGTAAAAATGTGAGCATCAAAAGTGGTTCTGGCCTGGCTGGTGTGGCTCAGTGGTTGAGTGTCGTCCCATGCACCAAGAGATCGCTGGTTCGATTCCCAGTCAGGACACATGCCCAGGTTGTGGGCCAAATCCCCAGTGGGGGGCATGCAGGAGGCGGCCAATTGATGTTCTTTCTCATTGATGTTCTTATCTCTCTCTCTCCCTCTCCCTTCCTCTCCGTCTAAAATCAATAAAGAAAAAAATAATGGTTCTGTGCCCAACTGGTGTGGCTGTAGATTGAGCATTGTCCCTTGGACTAAGGGGTCCTGGTTCGACTCCCAGCTAGGGCACATGTCCAGGTTGTGGGCTTGATCCCCAGCAGGGGGCATGCAGGAGGCAGCCAATTGATGTTTCTCACATCCATATTTCTCTCTCCCTTCTCTCTCTGAAAAATCAATAAAAACATTTTATTTTTTTTAAAAAGAGTTTTAGCCCTGGCCAGTTTGGCTCAGCAGTTAGAGCATCAGCCTGTGGTCCACAGAGATCCGGGTTCGGTTCTCGCTAAGGACATGTACCATGGTTGCAGTTTGTCCCCGTCCCTGGTTGGGTTGTGTGGGTGGCAGCCACTCGATGTGTATCTTTCACGTTGATGTTTCTCTCTCTCTCCCTCTTTCTCCCTCCTACTCTATCTGAACAAAAAATGGAAAAATGTCCTTGAAAAATAAAAAAAAGAGTTTTAGCCCTGGCCAATTTGGCTCAGCGGTTAAGAGAATTGGCCCACAGACCAGAGTCCTGGGTTCGATTCCAGCCAAGGGCACATACCGAGGTTGCGGTTTGTCTCAAGCCCAGATTGGGGTCACGCGGGTGGCAAACAGTCAATGTGTCTCTCTCATGTAGATGTTTCTTTTTCTCTCCTCCTTCTCCTCTCCCACTCTATCTGAAAATAAATGAAAAAATATCCTTGGGAAAGATCATATTTAAGGCTTGTGTCAGAATAAATTCTGGCTGCTCTAGATAGTTAAATGCAAAAGAAAGGTAAAACGGGTAGAAAGACAGGGAGAGAGGGAGAAATCAAAACACTAAACAACAAAGAAAAGTTAGGGAGCAAGCTTTCCCTGGCCCTCAACACTGTCACCCCGACTGAGCACGGCTGTGCCCAGAGGCTGGGCTCGGGAGGAAGAGACGGTGATTACCGCATCGATCTCGTTGAGGACCTTCCACTGCTCGTAAGGTACACCCAGCGCCTCAGCCGTCTGGATTGTCCTCTTCATCTGGCTTGTCCAGACCTTCAGGTCCTTGATGTTCTGATCACTGATGAATTTGGCCAGACTCTTGGCAAACTGCAGCACATCACAAGCGAACTCAGACCCCACAGAGAACACATGGACTCAGAACATCCACACACCCACAGTGCTCTTCTTGTGCATTCTTCACAGACGGAGTGTAGTTCCAGCTGTGGTTCATAAGGTTCCCCTACCACTGCCCCGAGCCCCGACATGTGCCTATGGCTGTATGACTTCCCTACTAGGGTCTCAAAAACTCCCCTAGACTATGGCACAGCCATCAGCTGCACCACAGGGACTCAGGTCACTCCCAGAATGTCATGTCTCTCCAAGGTGACAGTTCACATGGAAGCCAGAGATCCAGGCATCTGCTTGGTACTGGGTGACCTTCCCTACATGATGGGAACATTCTAGACTGCATGAAGGTCATCCATTTTGATGATTACATGTTAGCTATGAGAGCTGGAGCCCAGCCCTGGCACACACGCACACGCGCGCACACACACACACACAGCCACCCAGAGCTACCAACGCACAGACACACCCACACTGACCTCCCTGCCCCGGGGGGACAGTCCTGAGTCCCCACCAATCCGGCCCTTGAGGTTGAACTCGCTCTCCCCGTGCCGGCAGAGGTAGATGGAGCGGGGGGTGACGTGGATGTTCATGAGGTAATACACGATGCGGCTCTGGATGTGGTCAGCCACGCGGTTCACCACGTAGCTCTGCCCCACATCCATGATCTTGATATAGGACAGATCCCTTTCAGGGAAAAGGTAGAGAGAGGCTGTGAGTGTGACCAGGGCCCTTGAGGCACATCCTGCCAGCCACAGGAACTGGCTGCAGACCCTTGCCTCCCCGACCGCGAGGCCTGACACCACCACACGGGACCATCAGCTGGTGTGCACATGATAGGGGTGACATGGGAGCAACCAGACACGCGTGACACACAGACAAACCCTGAGGGAGGTACTCAACACTCATGCTCCCGAAAGATGACATCCAAGGTGAGGGGTGAGTCATGCCACGCTGTGACGCTCGCCACTGCTCTGTGTCCCCCAGACCCCTCCTGCCTACCCCTGAGTCCTCAATGCACACTCACTGTCTGTAAGGTGAACCAGAGACCGTTTTTTTCCAGGATTGATCAGGGAGCAAATGCTCTTGCCGACCTGGTCAGCCATCCATGGACCTGGCCTCTCCTTCCCCTGGTGCATGTCCCTCCTGAGGCCCCGCCCAGGCCATCTACGTGCACAGTGGCTGCCACGCCCCACAGCAGGTGCCAGGTGGTGGGACGAGCACAGGAGGATGGTGCTGCTGGCAGCGCCGATACACCCGCTCGGCCACTTGCCCGGCTTTGGACCTGTGCGACTTTGCAGCATGGACAGCATGCTCAGCTGTTGACGTTTGCAAAGGGGGTGAGCAGCAGGAGGAAAAGGTGGGGTTTCTCAGCCACTGTGCTCGGTTCAGCCCAGAGCCCCCAGAGTGTTCCTACTGTCTGTACCCTGGGACCTGGTTTAGGGGTGTTATGCAGACACCACCAGTAAAAATAGCAGCGACATTTACTGACAGTCCAACAGGAGCTGCTCCAAACAAGCCCCTCTACTATGGTCACATCACGGAAGCATGAGAAATGCTGTGCAGGGGATACCAGGGGACACACGGAACCAGGCAGCAAGTGCCCTGAGTTCCAACCAGCTTGGCTGGCTGGACCCACAGCCAGTCCCAAAGTCCAAGCCCCAGAGACCAGCCCTCCACCAGCCGCTGCTTCTCCTTGGTTTGTATGCACTGCATAGTCTCGTAATTATAAATAACCCGCGCCCAGATTCATACCCCAGCCTTTCACTCAATGCTGCATACCACGCCCTTTCCCACGTCTCTTCGGTATGGTTTATAACGACCGGATACCACTTTGCCAAGGGGTTCTACCGCTCTTCACTTAACCACCGCCCCACTCATGTAAGGCAGGAGTCCAGTGGAGCTGCCAGAGCATCTGGGTAACCACAGTCACGTCCATTTATGTACACGGCACTCCCAGGGCAGAGGGACTGCAAGCCCCGAAGCCTAAAGTGTTGACGACCTGACCCTTGGAGAGTTAGCTGCTGCTGCTGTAAGAGCCCCAGCTGAACGCCTGTTATGGGCCTGAAACCCCTCCCCCACCCCTCGCTCCTGTTGGACCCCCCTCTCCAGGGAGGCAGGGGAGCTCCCATGCGGGCCATGGCCGGCTGTTCCTAGGCAGTCGGGCTACCACTCCCCCTTTTCAAAAGGCAGATTGTGCATTTCTTTTATTTCATTTTGATTTTTATTGATTGATTTTAGAGAGAGGGAGGGAGACAGAGAAAGAAACATCAATTTGTTGTTTCACTTATTTATGCATTCATTGGTTGATTCTTGTTTGTGCCCTGACCAGGATTGAACCCGCAACCTTGGCAAATCAGGACAACATTCTAACCAACTGAGCTACTGGCCAGGGCCCGGACTGTGCATTTACAGAAGAGCATGTCGCCCAGCCAATGGGGCTCAGTTGGTGGGAGCATCATCCCATGCACTGGAAGGTTGCAGGTTCAACTCCTGGTCAGGGCACGTACGGGAGACAACCAAACAATGTGTCTCTCTCACCTCTCTCTCTCCCTTTCTCCCTCTCTAAAAAATCTATTAAAAACATGGGGAGCCCCCAAGAGGCAGCTGACTGGGCCCCAGGCTGCAGGCCCTTCACAGCTGCAGGTCACAGTGCTCTCCTCACTCACCTGTCCAGGTCCTCATCCAGAGACTCGTACGAATTTTCATAGCACTCGATGCGCCTCATGAAATCCTCCGTGGCCTCGTCACTATCACGGTTGACATAGTCAGGGCTGCCCAGTTTCACTTGCTGCAGGAGCCAGGCACAGAGCAAGGACACATCAGGGCTGGAGACCAAGGAGACTCGGGGGGGTGGGGGGGACTGGAGGCCAGGCCAAGGCTGGGGCACAAGGCTAGAGGCCAACCCTGGGGGGCTGGTCCTATTAGGAAGAGCCCAGTGGCTCCCTGGTCCAAGTTCTCACACTGGTGCTAAGAGAGTATTACTGGGTGGGCATCTTGAGTTTGGAGCCCCTCATCTTTGTGGGACATGGGGTAAGGGAGGCCAGAGGGGCAAGGGGCCTAGAAGACCCCACCTGAACCATCTCCCAAACCCAGATGTTCATTCCTGGGATAAAGAGAAGGTAGGGGAGAGAAGTCAAGTCTCTTTCTCAAAATGTAAATATCACCCCTCCAACCTCCTACCCAGGGGCTATAGCTTCTCTCCCATTGACCAGGGGATTATGAGGGGGAAGGGAAGAGAAGAGAGCAGAATAAATGCCCACCTGCCACAAAGCCCCCCAACGTAAGTAGCCCTGGATGGTGGCTGGGAGTCCAGGCTCCCCTGACCAGCATTCTCCTGTCTCCCACCCATCGTCCCAAGGTTCAGAAAGACCAAATTAAGGCTGGCCCGGGCATAAGCCCAAACCTGGAGAGGGACCTGTCACATGCCACCTTGGTTATGTTACTGTCCCAACAAGGTCAGATGCACCACTCACCACGATGTTAGCAGCTATGACCTCAGGATCCACACAGATGGACTCAACGAAAAAGGTCTGTAGCAAGGACCAGGGTGGGCAGGAGGGAAGGGACCACAGACACATTTAGGGCCCTGGGCCTGGGTCCACGGAGCTCTCTACCCCACCAGGCCCTTCCTCTGGGGTTGGGGGCAGGGTCTAGAAGCATGGAGCCAAAGCAGGTGCTGTCTTATCCAGAACTCTCCCACCAGGACCCCGGCCTCCCAGGAAAGAAGACTGCAGCTGGAGAGAGAAAGGCAGCCCCTCGCATCCCAAATCCACTCGGGGGCCAACTGTCAATGCCCTGTCCCATCAGAAGGCCATGAAAAGGGCTGAAGGGCCGTGGAGGGCCCAAACCTGCCATGGCCCAACCAAGGACTCAAGCGATAAGGTCTCACCTTGTAACCGTTCTGTTCCCCAAAATTAAAGATGGTCGCTCTCCGCTCTCTGGTAGTATTTGTTGCATCAAAAACCTAGGATCAAACTGGGGTTAACTCAGCCTCTGGCCCTGGAGAAGGTAGGCGGCCACCCACAGCTGCAGTACAGGGATTGGATTTCTCACTGGGACCAGCAGGTGCCTGGGCCACCCACCTGGCCAGTCTTCTTCAGACCTGAGGGCTGAGCTCGTCCTCCCCTTCTGAAAGGACTGGGGTGCTTTGCTCCCACAGGGCTGCAAACCCTCGGCACGGAGGAACGCACTCAGCATTGCTCTGCATACAGCAGGCACTTAGTTCATGTTTGACCAATAGGACTTCCCGTAAAACCAGTTAAACCTGGAGAACTGAACTATCTCCACTCTATGCTGGGAGCCCCGGGAAATGGGAACAGAAGAACAAAGAGAACAGGAGAGGAAAGGACAGGGGAGAGGTCGACAAAGCTCTGTAAGACAGACTCATGGTGACCGACTCCGGGAAATGGAGAAAACCAAACAAGCCTTCCCTGACCACAGCCCACCTGCTGTGCAGAGTTGGGGTGGCAAGGAACAGGGACACAGCCCGGCCAGTGGGGCTCAGTGGTTGAGCATCGACCCACGCACCAAGAGGTCGCTGGTTTGATTCCTGCTCAGGGCACATGCCCAGGCTGTGGGCCAAATCCCCAGTGGGGGACATGCAGGAGGCGGCTAATCAATGTTCTTTCCCATCGATGTTTCCTCTCCCTTCCTCTCTCTCTCTCAAATCAATAAAGAAAAAATATTTTTTAAATAGAAATAAAGGGGTGATGGGGGAGGGAAAAGATAAACCACAGAACTTACATGCATGTACGCATGACCAATGGGCATGGAACACAAAGCTGGGGACGGGGTGTGGGGGAAGGGGAGGAGGGTGTCAATGGGGTAAAAAAAAAAGAAACATCTGTAACAAAAATAAAATAAAAAATAAATAAATAAACAAGAACAGGGACACAGGCATCTCTGACAAAAGGTTCAGGAGGTGGAGAAAGTGGGCGGACTGGCTGGCCACGTAACGAAGCCGGCAGAGCCCAGGTCAGCCCAGGCCCTGCCGCACCTCACCCGGCCAGCTCTGCCCGCCTGGGGCTGCTCCGGGAGCACCTGGGGCCTGCCCATGACCCTCGGGCAGCCTGCACACCCACACTTCCAGCAGCTTTAGAGCATCACTCTTTCAAAATGACATCCAACCAAGACTCACTGGATGCGCCAGAAAAACCTCTAACCTGAAAACAGACTAAATTAAACAATAAAAGAAATTTTGAGAAATTGAAGACAGAGCATGGAAAATAAGGAAATGTCAAGAAACATATTATCTAAAGAGAGATACAGAACACTCTAATAACCACAAATTAAGAACAGAGTTCTAGCTATGACTGGTTTGGCTCAGTGTTTGGTGCATCGGCCTGTGGACTGAAGGGTCTCAGGTTCGATTCCCAGTCAAGGGCATGTACCTGGGTTGAGGTTCAATCTCAGACAGGTCGTGCAGGAGGCAACCAATCGATGTGTCTCTATCACACAGATGTTTTTCTCTCTCTCTCTCTCCCCCTTCATCCCTTCCATTTTTTCTAAAGGTCAATGGAAAAATATCCTTGGATGAGGATTAACAACAACAACAAAAAAGTACAGGATTTCTTTTAAAAAAGAAAAAGAAGAACAGCCTGGCTGGTGTGGCTCGGTGGATTGAGTGTTGTCCCATGGACTGAGAGGTCCTGGTTCAATTCCCGGTCAGGGCTCATGCCCAGGTTGCAGGCTTGGTCCCCAGTGGGGAATGTGGAGGCAGCCAATCAATGTTGCTCCCTCACATCGAAGTTTCTATCTTTCCCTTAAAAAAAAAGAACAGAGTTCTAAAAAACTGAAACAGAGAACAAGAAATTTAAAATATAGAAATTAAACTATGAGCACAGAAATTAAAAGAAGACTTCAACAGAATACTTGTAAGACACTATTGAGAAAGTCTCCCTGAAAGTAGGGACAAAAAAAAGAGAGGGAGAAAATAAGGAGAAAATGATAAAATTAGGGATCAAGCCTAGTGTGCAGCTACCAAGAGTTCTAGAAAAAGAGGCTCTGAACATTAGAGTGGAGTGAAGAATCACTTATGAGAAAGTGGCAGGTTTATACAAGTAATGATATATGACAATTTCTCTGATCAGCTGGAGAGAGCTTCCCAGTGAAACGGGCCCGGACCCGGCATGGTAGAGGACAGAAGACTCACCACAGGACATGTCACCTGGAAGACCCCATAGGCCTCCCCAGAGGAATGGCCACGAGAAGCCCCCAGCTCCCTCCAAGAAACTTTTAGGAATATCAGCAAATCCAAATAACATCAAACTTTCCCATAGGCTCACTAGAAGCAATAATACAAGGGAGCAATGTTGTGAAAATTCGAAGAGTAAGTACTTCCCACCTAGAATTCTATACCCAATCATCAACTATAAGGATAAAAATAAACATTTCTAGCCCTGGCCAGTGTGATTCAGCTGGTTAAGCATCATCCTGTGCACTGAAGGGTCACTGGTTGGACTCTCGTCAGGGCACATGCCTGGGTTTCGGGCTCAATCCCCTGTAAGGTGCGTGTGAGCGGCGGCCGATTGATGTTTCTCTCTTACTTCAATGTTTCTCTCTCTCCCCCTCTCCCTTCCCCTTTCTCTAAAAATCAATAAAAACATATACTAAAAAAATTTCTAGACATGTAAGGTCCCGTAAAATTTACTTCCCAAGTACTTTTTTCAGAAAACTACTGGGGGATATGCTCCAGCAAAACAAGTTGGTAGCCCTGGCGGGTTTGGCTCAGTGGTTAGAGCGTCGGCCTGTGGACCAGAGAGACCCAGGTTCGGTTCCCATTAAGGGCATGTACTCCCTGGCCCCTGTTGGGGTTGTGTGTGGGTAGCAACCAGTTGATGTGTCTCTCTCACATCCATGTTTCTCTCTCTCTCTTCCCCTCTCTCTCCCTCCCACTCTATCTGAAGATAAATGCAAAAATGTCCTTGGGTGAGGATGAAAAAAAAAAGTTAGTAAACCAAGGAAAAGGAAGATAACAGATCCAAGAGCAGGGCACTCAAATCAAGAGAGAGAAGGGGCCCTGGCTGGTCTGGCTCAGTGGTTAGAACATTGGCCTGCAGACCAATGAGTTGCGGGTTCGATTCCTGTCAAGGGCACGTACCTCAGTTGTGGTTTGTCCCCAGCCCTGGTCGGGTAGTGCAGAAGGCAACCAGTTGATGTGTCTCTCTCATGTAGATGTTTCTCTCTCTCCCTCTCTCCCTCTCCCCTCCCTCCCACTCTATCTGATGATAAATAGAAAAAATATCCTCAGGTGAGGATTAAAAGAAAGAGAGAGAAAGGAATTCCCAGGGTGACAACTGTGCCACAGATCTAGGGGGCAACTGATCCAGATGGAGCCGGCAGACAGGGTGTACAGAAGGCACACCTCCAAGGGGAAGAAGGGAGGAGAAAACAGCGTCTGTGTTTGACTGCAAAGCGGTGGGGCGGGCCCTTTCCTGCAGACCTTTGCGCAGCCTTGCTTGCCCCACCCCCTCCATCTGAGGAGAGGAGCCGGCACACAGGTGAAATTCTCTTACCCAGGCTGGTTCCTGGAACAGCCAGCAAATGCTCGGCAGGATTCTCCCCACACCAGGAGAAACCACATTTGCTCAAGACTTAGGTAACATGATCCTTCTAACCTGTAAGGTTGCCAACAATGTGAGCACTCAGAGGGAAATCCTTTGGGGTCAAAGGCAGCCACAACCCAGAGAGACATCCCTAGCCCACATCCAGCCTCTGGCTTCCTCCCGCACAGGGCTACAGACTTTCTCCCAGGGCCTGGCCCCCAGGAGCATCCAGGCCACACACACCCTGCCTTTCCCTCCAGAGACCTGAGGAGCAAAGAGTGGATGTGTGGGCTCCACAGGTCATTCCCAGATGTCACCAGGATGTCACACTCACCGCCACATGTCCCCCCTCCTCACTAAGGAACTGCCGGACGTCATGGAGGGCTGCCAGGGCACACTGCCTTCAGGGGAGAAAACACAGGGTCAGCCAGCACCCGACCTTGGCTGCAGGAAGGCAGTGGGCCAGGGACACATCCTACCCCACATGGGACGGGGGATGGGCTGCAGATCGACTTGAGCTCTATAAAAACTCTTAAATAATGAAGGCTGGAGAGCGTCCAGGTTGAACACGTGGAGATGCTGGGAGGTGATGCGCCTGGCGTGCGCGGAAGCTCCACACCGCCCCCTCCCTGCCTGGGCACCTCTTCCATTTGGTGTCACCGAGCTGCATCCTTTATGATAAACAGGTAAACATCACTAACGTATGTTCCTGAGCTCCGGGAGCAGTTCTAGCAAATTACTGAATCTGAGGAGGCTGTGGAAACCTCCGATGAATAGAGGGTCAGTAGCCCCCCGGACTTCTGACTGGTTCACAGTGGAGGCACGCTAGTGGGTCTGAGCCCTTAACCTGTGGGAACTGACGCTAACTCCAGGTAGGTATTAAGAACTGAATGGAATTGAATTGAATTGAATTGTAGGATACCAGTTGGTATCTGAGAAAACACCCCAGTGTCCCCAAGCCGTTGTGTGTAGTGACTGAAAAGGCACAGGTATGATTGAGTGCACACACGTGTGTGTACATGGGGTATGTGTGTGCATACCAATGCATACAAGTATAGACTTTTGTATGTATCTGTACAAACATGTGCACACAGGTGTACATGGGTGAATACCATGTGTGTACACATGGGGTGTGCACACGTCTTCATATGGTATGCGCACACATTTGAGTGTGTTTGGTATGCATTTATGCATATATCCATGTGTGCATATAGGGTGAACACAGTGTGTACATGCCCACACATGTGCCAGGAGATGTATATGCATGTATGTACACCCACCTTCATGTGTTGTGTGAAAAAGTCAACATAGCCGCCTGAGAACACCGTCCTTCAGAAGGCCTGCTTGCAAGGCTGGCCCTCGGCTAAGTCTGAGGACTTATGGTAAACAGCTCTCTACACTGATTAAAAATTTTTTTCCTTAAATAATAAGAGTGGTTCACTGTGTCTAGGCAGTTTATACAAACAATATGGTTTATACGGAACACCTGTTTTCCTTTTGGGATTTGGAATTGTTACGTGCTAGGCGCAGGGAGCCTATGTAACCAGCCCCGGGGAAAACCCTAGACACTGTTTGTGATGAGCTTCCCTGAGAAAATACTTCACATGAGTTGTCACAAGTTCATGCTGGAGGAATTAAGTGCTGTCTGAGTCTGGGGCACAGGACTCTGGGAAGCCTGGTTTCCTCTGGACTTTAAGCCACAGGGCTCTTCCCTTTGCTGATGTTACTTTGTATCATTTTGCTGTAATGAACCTGAGCCAGGAATATGGCCACATGCTGAGATCCTGGAAAATCACTGAACCTGGGGTGATCTTGGGGACCCCCCACACCGTGTCTAAAAGTGTATATGTCTACATGGTGAGCGTGTCTGTGCTTCTGTGTGCATCTGAGGTATGCAGGTGTGTGTGTACATGTTCTTGTATGCTGTGTGATCTTAACTACACATGTATGAGTGAGTCTGAGAATTTTTATGTTTAGGTGTTCACATGTGTGCACACTCACATGTATAATGTGACTATGTACACATGGGTGTGACTGCATACACATGCACATGTATGTGTATGTATGAACCCATGTGTACCCATGGGGTGTGTCAAATAACTGATCTTGTGTGAGAATTCTGAGCCTCAGTTTCCATCTAAAACGGGGAGAGGGTGACAATGGGCACCACATACCCAGCACACCGTCAGAGCTCAAATATCACTCCCTTCCCTTTTGTCTGGGTGGATATCACCAGAGGGTCCAGCCTAGAGTTTTTCCCAAAATTCCGCCACAGAGGCCCGAATGTCAGATTCCCCTTCCTTCTTGGTTCAGCAGCCTGGCCCAACCCATTGAGCAAAGACGTGGGAAGGGCCAAGACCTACAGTGGGGAGGGAGCTCCTGCCACCTGGTGGCGAGAGAGAAAGCCGGCCGCCTAGTGTCCAGACCCAGGTGGCTTCTGGCCTGGGGCTGTGCTCGAATAGGGGAGGTTAGCAGAGCTGGGCCAACTGCTGCTCAGTGCCCTGCCACAATGGCTGGGTCTGCATCAAGGGCAAGGAAGCTTCCTGACCCCTCAGCTGACAGCTGCCAAGAAGAGCACAGCCCCTCAGACTACCAGCTGGTGCTGTTTCTCTGGAGAAAGGTGGGGTGGGAGATAGGTGTGGGTATCACATGCAAATTTCCATCTCATGAATAACAGCAGGAGGGTGAACTAGTCACCCAGCACTGGAAAGCTAAGCCAAGGTCTACCCCACACATGCCAAGCGGGTGCTAACCATCCTCCAAATGTATAGGAGGGGGCTTATCCTGGGGCAGGGGAGGAAAGGTCCCAGTTCTGGGCCTGACCCTGCTTGCTTGGTGAGGTGCCAGGAGGCGGTCCCACTCCCACTCTGTCCCATCCCTGAGGCCTCCGGCCCTGCGCCCACTTGGGCTTTCCTCAGTACCAGAGGCTAACCCCATGGAGGGCAACCTTGACCTGCCCTGGTTAAGCCTCTGCCATCTCCCTGAGGCCCTGTTCTCCCCTCCCACAGAATGTCCTGGCCAAGGGCTCATAAACACCAGGGCAGGGCCAGACACCAAGAAACCACACACCCTCTCCCCTCGTCCCCAAGCCCATCCTACCCCCAGCCCCACCACACCTGAGAGGTCAACAGATCAGCCTTATCACAGCCCATCTGGGCAGGGCAAGGCAGGGCTCAGGCAGCTCTGTCCTTACCAGCAACGGGGCTCCAGAGGCTCCAGGGCCCTCTCTGTAAACACACACACACACACACACACACACACACACACACACACACTCACTTTCGGATTTTCAGGCCCTCTTCGTTGTCTGGAAGGAAAAACTCAAAAGATTTGTAAGTCTTGACCACGTCCCGGCGATACTGACCAACGTTGAATTCTGGAGGAAAGGAAAGGCTCAGCTTTCACCCACAGCAACCTCCCCAACTCCTGACCTCGCCCCCAGCCCTGCTGCCACTAGCCTTCTCTCGGCTCCGCCCCCCCCCCCCCCCCCCCCCACACACACACAGCCCCAGTGCCCACTTGGAAAGCCCAGCCAAGTCTCACCCCGCGTGGGCACGCCAATCCAGTTCAGGTAGCGAGTCAGCTTTTTAGAGATGTAGGTCTTGCCTCGGGCGGGCAGGCCCACCATGACAATGAGTGTCGGGCAGTTGGTCATGCAAACTGAAAGGGAAGGAGCACAAGTCAGACCAGGGGCAGAACTCCTCCCAGGGTGCCACTCCCTCGCTGCAGGTTCCCTGGCCTCAGGGCACAGGACTGGCATCAAGTATGCTTTCCAAGCCTTCTCACACCATACAGCTTCCCAAGCACCCCCAGACCCTGATCTCAGCTACCACTGGCATGCCCCTGTGGGGGTCCAGAACAATCCACCCCAACATATGCCTCTGTGGTGTGCAGATTATTTTGAGCTAAAAGCAACTTTAGTCAGAGACGCAAGAAAGTCTTCGGCCCAACCCCTCTTAACTAGCATTAGAGGCCTTGCCCATAAGCTTTTATCAAAGATAACTTCTTTTGACCTATCTATAAGGCAGGGCAAACTTCTATTTACTCAAGGTGTTCTTATCCTCCCGCAATTACCCTTTGAAGCTCTCAAGGTGCATTACCTCACTCCTAGCTAAAGATACCTTTTTTTTTTTCTTTCTTTCTTTATTGATTTTAGAGAGAGAGAGAAACATCTATGATGCCCCCATTGGGGATTGGGACTACAATCTGGATATGTGCCCTGACTGGGAATTAAACAGGCGACCTCTTGGTGCATGAGTTGATACCCAACCACTGAGCCACACCAGCCAAACAAGGATGTCTTTTAAAAAAAAATTTTTTTTTATCCTCACCCGAGGACATTTTTCCATTTTTTGTTCAGAGTGGGAGGGAGAGAGAGAGAGAGAGACATCGACGTGAAAGGGGCACATCAAGTGGCTGCCACCCACATGACCCAACCAGGGCCGAGGACAAACTGCAACCGAGGCACACGCCCTTAGTGGGAACTGAACCCGTGTCTCTCTGGACCGTAGGCCAAAGTTCTAACCGCTGAGCCAAACTGGCCAGGGCAAAAAATTTTTAAAAACTATTTTCATTGATTTTTTTTAGAGAGAAACATAGACGTGAGATACATTAATTGGCTGCCTCCTGCATGCCCCCTACTGGGGATCAAGCCTACAACCCGGGGATGTGCCCTGACCTGGAATCAAACTGGGACCTCTCAGTCCATGGGGCTGGGCTCAGGATGTCTTATATACCTCGGTATCCCTTCTCATCTCAACCTCTTATGTATACAGGGTTCCGGTATGTATATATGTATGTATGTCTGTATGTATTTAATTTTGTTATTTTCTCTTGCTAATCTGTCTTACGTGTATTTGCTTATTAAACCAGCCAGACGAGCCTTGAGGGTAAAGTTGTTCCTCCTCTACACCCCATTCCCCAGGCCTGTGCGGACTCCAGCAGACACAGTGGGATCTCGCCGGCCCTTGTCCTGCTGTGTGCCTCCAGATATAAAGCTGAACCTGCCATGCCTCCAGCTGAACCCTGCTGGGAGACCCGTGGCAAGCAGGGCAGAGCTAGATGCAGCAGGGTGTTCGATGCCCTGCCTGCCACCCAGGAACCCGATGGTCACTCCACATTCCTGCTCGCACAGGACCATGGCTTCCCTTCCCCAGCATTAATTTCCCTTCGTCGTATAAAGCAGTCTCCCATAAGACCTTCCTCCAAGGCACCGCCATGCCCACCTGGTGCACTGTCCCTCCATCCCGGCCATCTCACTGAGGAGTCTGACCCCTGACTCATCACTTGGAGGGAAAGCAGCCCTGCAGTGTCTGAGCCATTCTGGATCCTGGGCTCCGGCACAGAGTAGATGCTCAAGAATTATGGGCAGGAGGGAGGAGGGAAGCATCTTGAAACCCAACAGGGTGAGGATTGCAAGGGGCTGAGACCAGAGACCCAAGCCGGTGTCCACAAGGGTGGTCCCTCTGATAGCCTGCCCCCGCTATCCCATCTGCCGCCAGGTCAGTGTGTCAATCAGAGAAGCTGCCGAGGCTGGAGGCAGGGAAGGGTCTGGACACAGCCCCCAATTCGCTGGCCCACTAGGACAGACATCAAAGCAGCCTCACACGACCCAGCTCAGCTTTCAGTGTGGTCTCACCTCAGAAGCCTCAGGAAGGGCCAGGTGAAACCACAGCAGACAAACAGAAAGCCAGATGTGGGGACCTGTCCGTGTCCTTCTTCTGCCCCGTGGCTCTGCAAATGCCTTCACCTGGTAGCCCTCTTTAGGACCCTCCATGTAAAAGCACTTCTGGGATGCTGTGCCCTCTGTAGGGCCCTGGCAGCATGCCAGGCTAAGGACACAGCTACACCTCAGCACCAGCTGCCCTTGGGACTTGGGGTGCACTTGGGGTGCGCCGGCATTTCTGTCCCAGGCAGGCCCTGCAAAGATGTAAAGGGCTCTACTTGCCAGTGGGGACTCCATCACTGCTGGGCATGACCTTTGGGCAAATGTGACACAAACAGTGAGCCCCAGGGGAGGGCAGGAGGGAATCCCACAGAACAGTGAGCAAGAGTGAGAAAACTTGCAGCAAAACCTCAGCATTGGCCAAGGTGAGAGAAAAACAAGTTAGGCAAGGCCCTGTGTGCTGAGGGCCAGCTGTGATGGGGCCACACTGTTTGCACAATTCCCGGCCTGCTGGTTGGGGCTCTCAAGCAACCGCAGGGCAGGACATCACTACTAACCAGGGCAGGGCATCGCTACGAACCAGGGCAGGGCATCACTACTAACCATGGGGGGAAACCTGCACCCATCCTGCTCCCTGTGATGAGGCCATCCCTTCTCATTACCCCTCCCCCCCCCACACCCAGAGGGTTCTTTCAGGACTTTTGAACTAGAGTCCTGTATCCCCTCTTCACGTCTACATTCCCAGAGATGCCCTGGCCTCCTCTCATGGTGTTTGCTGTGGGCAGAAAGGGCAGCAAATCCAGGCTGAGTGAAAAACAAAAGCAATAAATTACTTATTACCTCTGTTTCTCAAGATAAGCTCCCAAGGAAATGACCCAAAAGAAAAATCAAAGTGCAAGTGTATTCACAAAAGCTCTGCTTCCAATAGCAAAACACTGGGAAAGTTCTAGCAATGCAAAAGTTGCAAACTAGGTCCACGTAGGAGGCACACACAACTGTGCTAGAACACAGAGCACCTGGGCCTGGTGAGCTGGGGCATGCAGCTCTGGGTCCTCAAGGACCCTGACACTGAGAAACAGGATACTGTTTAGGACATTGGGTATGTGCGGAAGGAAATCTGAAGACATGTCATCCAGTTTTCTTTTCCTGTATATTTGCTCAAGACCATGGGAGCCCTAGCAGGCAATAGGCCTGAGAAGAGCCTGGTGCTGGACAGTGACCACTTTCTGTGGTGCCACCACAGGGACAGCCACAAGTCCCTGAAGTGGGGTCCACAACTGATTCCTGAACTGCACCTGCTCTACTCCCCAGCCAGGCGGGGGAAGGAAGAACTGAAAAATAAAGCAACATGGCATCTGTCCTGTTCAGGTGACAGAGAGTAAATTCTCCTATTGTCCTGGACATACCCAAGTCATGTCCATACCCAGGAAGAGTGCCACCTTTTGGCTAAAAAAAGCCATCAGACAAATACTGTCCTTTCTGCCATGCTCTCTAAGTCCCCTCTTCATCCCTGCCTCACCTACTCTCAAAGCTCCCCCAGGTCTGAGCTGAGGGCTCAATGATGAGGAGGTAACAGCTTACAGACCTCATGTGTGCTTCTGAATTTTATCAAAAGGAGGAACAGTCCAGTCAGTGTAGCTCAATGGTTGAGCATCGACCCATGCACCAAGAGGTCACTGGTTCGATCCCCGGTCAGGACACATGCCCAGGTTGTGGGCCGGATCCCCAGTGAGGGGCATGCAGGAGGCGGCCAGTTGATGTTCTCTCTCATCGATGTTTCTATCTCTCTCTCCCTCTCCCTTCCTCTCTCTCTAAAATCAATTTAAAAAAATTGTTTTTTAAAAAAAAGAGGAAGAATTTATCATGAAGAGTGGGGGTGGAGGAGGCACAGAACACCCCACAGCCAATCAGCCTCTGGTGCCCGGAGGAGCTGGGGACAATTCACCACACAGAACAGGCCAGCCGTGAGCCTTGCATCCTCTTCTCTACAACCCCTTGTGATCGAGTCAACTTCTACCCACCACCCACCCTCAGGTCTTCACCTGTGCTCATGGCCCTCCAACCTAGTCATGAGCCCACTTTGCAGAAGGTAAAATGCTGCACGAACTCAGACTCTGGGAACTGGAGGTGCCGCATGTACAGGTTCCATGTTCACTTGCTGCTGAGTCACTACCTGCTGTGAACTCTGGGACCCTAACCTGGGGCCCAAACCCCCACACAATCTGCAGGTCTCATCTGTGGCCTCCTGAGTGCCTCCTCCTCCTCCAGAAAGCACCTCCAGTGCTGCGCCAGCCCACAGTTCCACTCACTGAGACACCCTGAGGCAGTGTAGTGGCATGAGCCATATTTTAATCACAGACTTGAAGTTTGGAGAAATAGAGACCCTACCCAAGGGGTTGTGAGACCTAGGCACGTCCCCTCCCCCTTAGGCTGCAGTTCCCTTCCCATCTGCAATGGGAGTTAGCTCAGAGTTGATGCTTCAATCCCTGCCTTTGAGGTAGCGAGAAGGAAGAAAGAAGGGTGAAATTACAAAATGGCCAGCTATCCCTTCTTGAGTATTTACTCATTAAGAAGCTCACAGCAGCTTCACGGAGCAGGATGACGGTAGTCTCGTTCCACAGATGAGGAACCCAAGGCCAGAGGATCAGCTCCTTGCCTAAGGTCAAGGTCAAATAACGAGCCATGATATGGCTTGAGTGTTCCTGCCTCCAAAGTCCAGGTTCTTACTCCTCCTTTATGTAAGAACAGCAGCCACCTCCTAGTTAGGACAACACAGACCTAACACAGTCTGGCTAGAAGCACAGGTGGAAGGAGTCTCGGCCTCCACACTTCCAGAAATGTCTGGGTATGAGGGCATGACCATAGCCCCTGAGGACTCAAGAGTATTGACTGGAAAGCCACAGGCCCAAGACTAAAAGCATGATCACAGGCTTGGTCCCCCACCAGGACCTCTATCATGGCCAAAGCCATGGCTACCCCTGATTTGCCACGGTGTGGTAATACACACACCCCTCCCCCAGGACTCACATCATGGCAAGGCCAAGGCCCCCGGGACAAGCAGGTCTAGCACAGAGCACTCTCCCCCCCTTATCATGCCCAAGCAGAGACCAGGAGTGCAGGGAGACCCTCGCACAGAACCCAATCTCCTCATCTCCATTTCCATATCTGTACCAGAAGTTGGACAAGATGTTCTCTGAGGTCCTTGCAAACTTGCAAATTCATCACAATGTTTCAGTTACTCCTAAAACACATCTTTATTTTCTTAGTAATAAAAAGGTTGCAGACTCATTTAAGGACAAGTAGAAAGTCAAGGTAGTGGATTAAACACCCAAGACCCAGGAAAGGTAAGCCCCTTAACGATTTCATGAATTTCAGCATGTCTCCTAGATGTTTCACCCTTAAATTTTACCGTTTACCCATGACTCCACGTGAATGCTTCCACACCCCTGGACACAGGCCACATGGGCTTCCAGGCCCATATGGCACAGTGTCCTCACTGTCTCTGTCCTGGTCAAATCTGAAATTCCTCCCAAAACTCTGCTTTAGGCAAAGAGGTGGGTGATGAAGGCCAAGGGGCACTGACACCCTCCCACCTACTGGAGGGCTAGCCCACTCTTGGGCTTTTGAAAGTTCTGGGCTCAGAGAGGCCAAGCAGTTTCTTTAGGGCCAACACAGCTCAGACCCGGTCCAATCACCCGGTCCATGCTCTCCCGCCAGCACAGAGGGCAGGGCGAGGGCTCCAGGCCCTCCCCTGGCATGAAGCGGTGGGGACACCTTGCAGTGGGAAGGGACTGGAGCCAGACCTAGCCCCCGAGGAGTCCAGACATCCCCATATACCTGTCTCCGTCCCCGGCTCTGCAGTACCTGTCCTCGGCGCACCACCTGTTTCCATTCACCTCCCACCGGTCTTGGCTGACTCAGCCGTCCCGGTTCCCCTCTGGTCCCCGGCCCCCTCTCCATCGAGAGACCACTGCCCAGGCCGCCCTATCCACCCATCCCCGTGCACCCCCTCCCCTGCCCCGCGGACCCCTCCTCACCACGGCGCTGGCAGGCGTGAAGGGCGGGCCGCCCATTGCTATACGGCATCCAAATCTTCTTCAGGGGGTTTTGGGTCAATTCCCGTGGGGACGCCATCCCGGGGGCGGGAGGAGCTGGACTGCGCGGATTCCAACCCCTAAAGCCGGACCAACTCTGGCCACTCGAGGCCCCACCCCTCGGCCCCGCCCCTCCTCGATCCGCTATGACGCACGCTCAACTGCCCACAGGCCCCGCCCCAGAACGAGGAGGCTCCACCCTAACTGGAGACGCTGGCCTCCGACCACGCATGCCCAACTCGCCGACCAGCGCTTTCGGACCGAGAGGGCCGGCTCTTCAGGCCGGGATCCTGGGCGCGCATGCCCAGCTCCCCACAGGCCCGCGTCCTGGCTGGACAGGCCCCGCCTCGGGTGAACGAGCCCGGCCCACCCCACCCGACCGCGCTGATTTGCATGGGTCTCTCCCAAGGCCTCGCTCGGGCTATCCCGGGGTCCTGCTCCTTACAGCGCGGGACCCCTGTGCCTCCAGGAGGGAGGGGTTGACATGCAATGGGGCAGGGCCTACGTGACCCGCGGGGCTTGATTGGTCAGGACCTGCCAGGAGACCTGTACGTGAGGATGATCCCTGGCAGGATGTCCCAGCTGTCAACTCTGCGGCGCCTCGCGGGCCTTGCGCCCGATGCTCTCTCTGCTCTGAGAACCAAGACTCGGCTCCGCCCACAGGAGCGACCTGCTCAACTACGTTGAGAAAGTTCCTTTATCTCATGGACAGGAACCCAGGACACATTTCAAAACTGATCGCGTTTCTCTCTTTGCCTTAGTTGCCGGGGAGCGTGGGCTAAACGCCAGCCTACCTGGAGCAAGTGGGTGGGACCTGGTAACCAAGCTCTCTAGGGATTCGCCGAAAATGGAATGTGCACGTCATCAATCTTACAAGATTTTGGTATAGATTAAATGTGCCAATGTCTGAAAAAATCCACTGTAAAGCATATTAATGTTATCATTTAGTATATTATTTGTCTACTGTCTCTAAAAATGCAGTGGAGGCAAGGGGCAAGGCAGAAATATGGAAGCTAAGAAGCTCCTGGGCCACTCTTGTCTTCTCAGTCTCTCCAAGCTTTGGACTCTCTGGCCTGCGTCCCCTGTTGACACAACTCAAACCTATCACACTGCCCTCTAGCGATGTCCTCCACCACACCCCTTGCCAGGATCACTGCATCTCTGTCCAAAGTGTGCCCAGCCAGGAGCCAGATGCTAGGGGCATGAAGAACAAGGGTCAACCCAGTACACACAGATGCAACACTCCCTTCCTCTGCCCTCCATGCCACACCCTGGGTTAGTTCTCCAAATCACTACCCAGCCCCTCAGAGCCTGGCAAGGACCCTTTAGATGTTCCGTACAGATAGATGGCTTGCCCACTTCCCAGGAAATGAAGGTTCAGGAGATCCACATACTGGAAGCTCACCTAGACCGGCTCTGAAACCAGCTCTAGCTTTCTGCTCTGGGGATGCCATGCCTCAGACAGATTCGGCCACTTCCTCCTTCACCCTCCCTCTGCAGTGTCCACCCCCACCTCCCTCCACCTCATGCTCAGCAGCTCTGAGCACACCCATGGATGGCTCCTGGTGAGCAGGACGCCCCTTGTGACCTTCCTCCTGCTTCCTACTCCTCTAAAGTCACTCATTTTGTTCCTGTCTGTCTCCTGGCCACTGCCAAGGTCATCCTGAGGCCGCACTGGCCTCAGAGACCTTGTCACCATATGCCCACACTCTGTCCAACACCCATCTTTCACTGCAAAAGCTGCCTCCGCGAACATCCACAGACACCCAGCACCTCCTCAGGCTTGCCCATACTCCTCCCCAGCCTCCTCGGGATGCTAGTCAAAGGCTTGGGGTAGTGAGCAGCCAGGGCAGGGCAGGAGGCCAGGATCATGTCTGGGGAGCCATCTCCACGCCCAGAGAGTCTGAGTCTGCCTTCCAAGGAAATGCAGTAGCTCTCTACCTCCCACTCTTCCCCAAACAGTCTGACCCTGGGCTGACCCCGACAAACCCTCCCAAGTCTCTATATCCAGTGGGAGACCACAGGCCAGCAGCTCTTCCTCAAGGCCAGGGTCCATGTCTGCTCTCAGAATATTCCCCATCTCCCCTCCCATGGCCCCATTTGTAGGAAGGAAACTGAGGAAGGGGATCAGTGTCCCAGAGCACCCACAGAGCAGGATGGACTCAGCACAACTGGGAGCCCTTCAAAACCTCGCCTCCCACACCTTGCACTCTCACACTCCACCTCCACACCTGTGCTCCTTTGCTCCCTGCGCTGAAATGCCCTCCTGGCTTTCTCACCCTCAGCATCAGCAGGTGCCCTCATGGTTTTCGCTCCCTCCGGGCCATTCCAAAGCGAGCCAGCTGTCCTGGCCCATGGGTGGGAAGTGTGCTGGGATGTGAGTGTGCACTTGTGTGTGAACATGTCCTGCTCAGTCTCCCCACTGTGAACCTGCCTCACCTGGCCCTGGTTGTCTCCTGTGGTACCCTCTGCACTGACCACTGGACCTCCTCCCAGTGTCCCAGGTTACAAGCTGTGGGGTGGCCAGGGTCCTCAATCCTCAATTCTTAATGCTCAAACTTTTCCATCCTGTATCTGCTGTCCAGCCCTGGCCCAACCACCAAGCCACCCTTTGCCACCTAAAGGCCCAGGGACCTCAGTGAATACCACATAGACCCACACATTAATGCATGAACGCATGTGTGTGCACATACACTAACAAGCCCTGCACCCAGGCCTGCGCAGAGACAGGCAGGCTGCAGTGGGCCTCTGCTCCCTGTAGTCTCCCTTCACCTTTATTCCCTTCCTCCTCTCCCCTCTGCTGCTCCTGGGAGGTTCGAAGCATTCCCAGGAGTTCCTGCTTCCTCTGGACATTTCTGGCCAAGGATCATCCCCTGTGTCTCCCTGGGCCCAGAGCTCAGAGAGGGTGTGAGGTTCCAACTTGGAGGCATGGAACCATGTGACCAAGTAGCCTGGGAATCCTGATCAGCACTTGCTGATTCCAGCCTAGCACAGGTCACACAGTAAATGCTCAAAGTGACTCAGGAGCAGCCAGAGAACACAGAAAGGGCTCAGAGAAGTTCATAACCAGGACAGATCACACAGTAGGTGCTTAGTGCTGCTCAGGATGGGCACAAGGCCCACAGTCGGTGCCCTAGAAATGCTGGTTTAAGCACTAAAGCCAAATCATATGAAAAACTTCCCAAATGAGCCTCTGGACCTCCCTTAAATTGGTGGGGCTCATGGCGGGGGGGGGGGGGGCCTGAACCAACCTGACCCCTTAGAAGCCAGCAAAGGGCCCAGCGGGAGGGCCCTGAGCAGCTCCAGCTGGCTGTCCCTCCTCTTGAGCTGAAGGAAGAAGCTATTTATAGTTACCCCTAGGCCTAGCTACCTCTTCCCTGCCAGGATACAGTGTTCCCCTCTTCCAGACCACTGACAGGCTGATGCCCCTCAGAACACCCCATACCTGCAGAAACCTCCAATAACCTTGCACCCCTTCCAGCACCACCCCCACTGCACCCAGATCATTTCCCAATCCCTCCACCCTCTCCACGCCACCCTGTGCCTACCCTGCCTGCTGCTCCTTGACCCGGGGTCCGTCAGGAAACTGCCTCCTTCTGTGCCTCTGTCCATCCTGCAACCCAACTGGCCTGGGCTACCGCCCCCTGAAGCGTGGAGTCCAGCAACCCCGCCCTCTGGCTCTGGAGAGAGGAGCGTCCCCTGTGGCCCCGCCTCTCCAGCCCCGCCCTGGACCCGCCCCCCTCACCACTGCTTTCAACTGAGATCAACAGGAGTGTCCCCACTCCAGGCAGCCACTCCCACCAGTACTGCCTCCTTCCAGCCAGAGCTGTCCATACTGCCCAGTTCTGCCCTCATCTCCAGCTGGAGCTGTCTGCACAGCCCAGAGGCCTGCCCCATCCTCAGGCAAGCCCGTTCACACGATCCAGAAGGTCAGCAATGGAGTCAGGAGTGTGAGATAAGGCAAAACCTACTCCTTCCACACCAATGGACCAGGTGTAGGGAGTGGGGAGTGGGCAGAGGGGCAGCATAACCAGCTATGACTCAGCCTCCGTGTGTCACTCCCTGGGTGCACACGACGGTGTGGCTCTCGGTCGTCCCATTCACTGAGCGCTTCCTGCATGCCAGAACCTTTGCGTACACTTGTCACGTAATGCTCACAAGAAGCTTGGTGGCATCACTCTGTTTTGCAGATGAGGAAACAGGCTTAGAAAGGTGAGCACACACTCAGGACAATTTGATGAGGGAGGGGCAGAGCTGGGCCAGAGCCACATGGCCTGAGCCTCCTCGCCCTGAGCTGTGTGCGTCCAAGGGCCGAGGCTGGGTGGCAGGGGTGCAGGTAGGACAGTGCTTGGCTGGGTGTTGTGCATGCTTCATGCAGGTGTGGGGGACAAGCGCCTGTTCCTCCAAGACCCATCACATGCCCTCAACTTGTTCACACGCACTCACAGCTGTCAGGTTCAGAGATGCAGCCACATGTGCACACCCCACACACATGCAAAGCTGACACTTCACAGACTTCCCACTATGGCCATCTGTGCCCAGACATGCCCGCAGCGGCCCCATCCTCTGGAGTGGGTGCTGCCTCAGGGAACACAAAGCATGCACGTGACCATCCGCCAGCACTTCAGTGTGGTGACCTGTTGGGGCAGGGCGACCTGTGGGTCTGATCTTGGGTGGACTGCTCTCGGATGCAGTGGTGGGCTCCTGTGTTGAGGTTCCTGAAAGTGGTGTGAGAGTGAACACATGTCCAGATGCTCTGTGACTGTGGGACACCACACATGGCAAGCCTCCACGTGATAGTGACCTTCCACGGTAGTGTCCAAGCTGCCCAGACACACTGGAAGTCTGCGGGGCTCCAAGGTGTGACAAGACTCCACTTGGCACTACCGGACGTGGCTGTCCACACGCACTGTGACTCTGTGAGGCACTCAGATGTGACATGACACCATAGGGCAGTGACCCCGCACGGTGTCCAGATGTACCATGCCCAGGAGTAGTACTGCCCTCCAGGTCCTCCCATCCCAGCGGCCCCTCCCGCAGGCTCAGCGGCGGCCGACATGGGCCAGGATGAGAGCGTTGGCGGCCGCCTGCTCCCTCACAGCTCTGGCCCGGGCCTGCTCCAGGAGGATCAGCTGGAGGCCGAGGGGGACGTCCAGTGAGAGGCTGATGCGGGGGCCGGGGCGGGCGCCAGGGCTGGGCTGGTTCCAAGCAGCGGTCGGGCCGGTGGTGCTGGCTGAGGAGCTCCTTGAGGACACAGGGCAGGGAGTGGCCCGGGGAAAGTTCTGAGGGGGCAGCTGGGAGGCTGGGATAGGGGTGGCTGAGACAAGCCGGACCCTACCCAATGTCAGGACCATCAGCACCAGAAGAGACCACTCGCTCATGGCGTAGTCGGGCTGCGAGGAGAAAACAGGCTCAGGGCAGAGACAAAGGGCAAGTGGAGAGACAGAGAGCGAGACCAAGATACTGACAGAAAGAGACTGAGGGGTAAAGATTAGAGAGGCCAGGCCAGGGACAGAGAGAGACAGAGACACAGATGAAGGGACAAGGAGAGAGCCAGAGTGAGACAGAGACAGAAGGGTGAGGAAGAGAATGCGCGAGACAGAGAAATCCGGAGACGGGGAGTATATAACTAGATACATTTTTATAGAGGGGGAGAAAATGAGAGGAGAGAGAAGGCAGGAAGAAAGGATGGAGATGGATGAGAGGGAGGCAGAGCAACAGACGGGAGCCTGGGAGAAAGAGAAAGAACCCAGGCGGGAGACAAGGACACAGACAGGGAAACACAGGGACAAGGGGAGCCCGAGGTTTCGCAAGAGCTCCTGCAGCAGGCCCAGGACAAAGGTGGGGAATGCGGGTCCCTGAGGATGATAAGCAGCCAGGGAGCCCAGAGCTCCCTCAGGTCCAGAGACCTCCATCACCCGAACCCCAGATCCACTCCACACCCAATGGCCTGCCATCCCATCCTGACCCCGGTCCTACCAGAAGCAGCAGCCTCCTCTGGGGTACGTCAGGGCCACTGTGGCTGCTCAGGGCTGGGCCAGGCGCGCTGTGCTGTGACCTCACCCCCTGCCCCCTTCAGGGCCCATTTATCTCCCTCAGCCCCCTGGGGTGGGAGCTGGGGCATGTCTCCAGGCATGAGGCAGCCCCCCACCTATGACTCATCCCCTTCTGGGGGGCAGTGAGGACATATCCTCAACCCACACCCTGTCTACCCCTTTCTGGGGACAAGTTGAGGACTGAGATGTCATAAGACAGTGACCAGGGCTGGACAGAGGAACTCTGCACCCATGTAGGATAGTACTGACCCCCCACCAGGAAAAACCTGCCTCCTGGCACCCGCATCTCCCAAAGAATCACAACAGGGGCCTTTCAAAACAGCAGCTTTAATGGTCCCCAGAATCAGCACCATGTCATCACAGGCGGGGGTCAAGGGGCGGGTCCGACCTAGTCACATCCGCTCACTGCCCACAGCCACCCCCACAATGAGTCAGCTGCCAGGGAGGCAGGAGCCACAATGAGGGTTTGTCCACAGGGGGAAGGATAGACCCACAGGACCAAGTCATTGAAGTAACGGACGCTCATGCACACTCCTGTGTACACGAGCCTCTAGCACCAAGGAAAGGGACAGCAGGTCCTGCTGCGGCACCGACTCCTCCAGGGGTCACTGGACTTCAGCTCCTCAGCTCTGGAGAGCACCTGGTGGGGCAGGTTGGGAGCTGTCTCTGGCCACCTGACCTTACCCAACATGTGGGCCCCAGGGAAGCCCTGGCAAAGGATCCGCGCAGGAGAGAGCTGGGGCAACGGAGTGAGGGCTCTGGCCTCGGAGAAGGGTCCTTATCGGCTCGTTCAAGGAGAAGCATGGAGGGGACCACACTGGGGACTCCACATCTGGGTTTTCTACCTAGTGATTTGGTCTGGGGGTCTGTCCCAGGTTCCCCGGCTGAGGGAGCTTCTGACCCAGGACCTGATCTGGATAGGCTCAGTGCCCAGGCCCCTGCTGGGGTGGAGGGTAGGCCCATACCTGTTCCCTGGCTCTGAACCACCCGGGGCAGGCAGCGGCGCTCACAGGCCTCACGGGTCCCAAAACGGTTGGCATTCCCTCCGCAGCCACCGTAGACAAAGGGGTGACAGGCTTCTGTACCACCTGCCACAGCCCGATGGTACCAGCGCAGGGTGTAGGCAGTGCAGGAGCCCTCATCCAGCGGAAGTGAGCAGGGGTCTGGGGTCAATGGAGGGGTCAGGATATCAGCAGGGATTGGGGTCAAGGAGAGGTCAGTGGGGACCGGCTCTGCCTCTTCCCCGAACCCTCTGAGCCCAGCTGCCGTTCTCACCATCGCCGTCCCAAGGAGCCTCGGGGCCCTGGTAGTCCTCCTCCACAGAATACTCAGCGTCCTCATACTCATCGTCCTCGGGGGGTACTCGGTCTGCCACGGGGTGGGCTGTGCCAGGTTCATGCTGCCCAACCCCAGCCCCCGGTCTCCCGTGTGTGCACAAGTGTCCATGCATGTACCCCACGTGCAGGAGCACCCGGTGGTGTCTGTGCCCCATCCACACACGCCCACGGGTCCAGCTGTCCTCACCTTCCTCCTCTGCATGAGAGAGCCTGAGCACAGGCACGGGGTGGCGCTGGTGGCTGGCGGCGTCTGCAGCATAACTAGGGAGGGGTCCTGGAGCAAGGAGCAGGGGCACAGGGCCCTGGGGTCACCATGGCGGCCACCCCAGCCCAGCCCCTGATGACAGGACCAGGTGATGGACACAGTAGGGTCTGGGGCAAGGGAAGTTACGGGAGAGGAAGTACCAGAAAACTACTCACGTGATCCAGATGCAAGAAACTGGCCCTGGCAGGCTGGAGTGGGCAGAGAGGGCAGAGAGGGCAGAGAGGGCGGGGAGAGACCATGAAAGAGAAGGCAGGAGACAAGGATGGAAGAGGCAGGGTGACAGAGACGCACAGGAGATATACAGGGAGGGACAGAGAGAAGAAGGGAAGCAGAGAAATAGAGAGAGGGAGAGAGAAAGAGGAAGAACGGCAGGGGAGAAACAGAAAGAACGAGGGAGAAGTTAGAAACAGGTCAGCAAAGGGCAAGAGAGAGAAGGAGGGACAGCAACAGTCAGAAACAGGCAGACAAGAGACAGAGCAAAATAGGTCACAGACAGAGAGGGAGGGGACAGAACTTCACTGTCTGATGCCCCTCAGGCCATCAGAGACCCCTAACCTGCTCCATGTCAGGCCCAGAGGGACCAGATGTGCTCCCACCACACCCCTCCACACATGGCCATACTGGGCATTCAGCATCACTACGGGTCCACCACAGTGTCTCCCCTGGGGAAGTCCTGTCCTGAAGCAAGTGCGTCCTGTGTGTGCATCCATATTCACCCATCTCCTTAACTCCTCACCCTCCGCGAGTTCTAGGGACCCTGCCTGACCCTGTCCAGGGGTACTGGGGAGGGGCGGGGCCCCACTCACCACAGTGCTGACTCATCTCCTGACGCACAAAGCTCCGAATGTCATCTTCCTGGGAGCACCAGACCACACGAATCAGAAGAACCCACGGATCCCAGGAAGGACAAAGGGCACATACATGATGCAGGGATCATGGAGGGACAGCGTCGAGTCAGGGGCCAAGGCCTGGGGGCCGGGGTGCTGGGTGCAGGGGCAGGGCCCCAGCCCACCCTGCCACACTCACTGTCAGTGCTGCTGCTCCCTTCTCGCCACGCGGGCCAGCGGGTCCTGGCCGCCCCTGTGTGCAAGGGAGGGGCTAGGCTGTGACCTCTGGTCTCACACACACCAAAGGTCACTTCAATCTCTGACCCCAAGCCCAGAAATCCCCACTCACCTGTTCCCCTCTCTCTCCGGGGACCCCGGGGGCGCCAGAGGCACCCACCACACTCTCTCCAGGGGGACCTCGCTCACCCTGTCAGACACAAGGGCCCAGTGAGCAGGGTCAGAGGTAGTGGGGGTCAGAAGTAGGGCAACTAGGGATTATAAATCCAAAGGTTGGGGCAGGATACTGGGAGATGGGTCACAGGTTCAGAGGTCAGCGAGGCTGGAAGTCAGGCAGTTTCAGGAGCCAACAGTGAGTCAGGGCCCCTCACCTTCTGGCCCTGCAGTCCTTCAGATCCTTTGGGACCAACACTGCCAGGTGGCCCAGGGGGACCGCTGGCACCATCATTGCCTCTGGGACCTGGGAGGCCCCCAATTCCTGGGGGCCCCTGGGAGAAACAGGCCAGGGTCAGTGATCAGAGCCCCCAAAGATAAGCCCACTTCCAGAGAGCACAATTCCCCGGTTCACCATGACCGTAGCCTAAACTTACCCGTTCCCCTTTCTCACCCTGGTCACCCTTGGGTCCTGACTGCCCATCAAAGCCTCGGTCACCCTGGAAACAGAGAGAAGTGTGAGACCCCCTCTGCCTGGCCTCCCGCAGTTCGACTGCCATGAGCACCCCTGGCCCAATGGCCACAACCTTCCATAACGCAAGCACCTGTGACCTACCAGCCCAGGACCCTCCATCCACCCTGGTTCCCAGGACCCCAATCTCACCATAACATCTCCACCCCGACTCTTCCTGTTTTCCTACACTGACCTCTAACCCCCTCCTCCACCCGCCACAGAGCCTGAGCCCTAATCCACGTCACACCGCGCACCTCCCACCCTGAATCCCACCATGACCCTGACCTACCCCGAAACCTCAAGCCTGTCCCACCACCCGAGTGTGCCCCAACCTTCTCTGTCCTTCGCCTCACGACCCTCCCATGACCTCTGCCCACCCCGACTCCCCTGACGCCCACTGTTGAGAGGCCCCTACCTTGGGACCGATCAGGCCCTCCTTGCCCGGGGGCCCCGACTGGCCTGGCATGCCCGGCTCCCCCTGGAGAAGAGAAGACGAGCTAGGCCCTGGCCCCCCATCCTCTCCCACGCTGGGTGTCCCGCACTCACCATGTCCCCCTTGCGTCCTGCCAGCCCAGGGCGGCCCGGGGCACCAGCTTCTCCCTACAGGCAACAGGGGAGGCGTCAGCCTGAGGCCTCAGCCCTGCAGCTGCCCACCCCCTCCCCTCACCTCTGTACCTTCTCTCCCTTCTCTCCATCAAGGCCACAGGCTCCCTTCACCCCCTGTTCGCCCTGAGGGAAAAAGCAGGGGGAGTGACTTCCAGATACCTCACTTTGTAACCCGAGCCTGAACCCACTCTCCAAACTGGTCTCAGACACTTCAACCTCTCTCTTTCCAACCCCTGACCTAACATCCCCATATTCAATTCTGGAGACCCCAACATCTGACCCCAGACATCTGATCTCTGACCCCGATACCTCACCCTCCAACATCAGGCCTCCTGTCCAGGGTAAAAACCCAGTCCCCTTCCCACCTTGAGGCCCCGGGAACCAGTGAAGCCTCTATCTCCTTTGTCTCCTCGGATGCCGGGGACTCCGTCCCTTCCTGGGGATCCCTGGGGGAGAAAGGTCAGCATGAAGTCAGGGCATCAGTGAGGGATCAAAGGGCATAAGTCTGGATGTAGTGGACGTGGAACACCATGGGGGTAGAGCCACCCTTGGAGGCTAGAGTCACTGCAAGGGCAGAGTTTTCCATGGGGACAAGGGTCACCATGGGTAGGGGGGGTCACACATGGGTGGAACCATCATAGGGGTGTCTGTGAAGGTGGGGCCACTGGGCAACATGACAACACCATGAGCGCACAGGGTCTTTATAAGATCAAAGGTCACCACATGAGGATGGGGATCCTGTGGGGTCAGGAGCATCTTACCGGCTCACCAGGAATCCCTATAGCACCAGGCTCTCCCTGTGGGAAACACAGAGGGGGAAGGAAAGTGGCCCTTAAGTGTGATTGTCTCAGTGTGACTGTCCCCAAGCTGGCGTATCTGCTGCAAATGCAGCAACTAGGTGACTCTGGCCCAAGGCCCAGGGACACACAGATCCTGTGTGAACACCCACGGGGAGGGAGGCTGGAAATCCTCCAACACTCAGAGGACACCCATGGGACACGTGTGTGATGTGTGGCTCTGGGTCTGTGCCTGAGACAGGGCTTGCCTTAGGTCCTGTGAGTCCACGTGCTCCCAGCAACCCAGCTGAGCCCTTGTCACCAGGCTCTCCCTTGGCGCCCTGTGGGAGTGACCGGAGAGGGACACAATCAGCAGCCGGCCAGGACGGAGGCTTGGAGCCTGCCGGGGACCTGCCAGCTGGGGCGGAGCGGTCCAGGGCCACTCCTACCCCGCCCTGAGGCCCCATCCCTTCCAGCCCATGCCATAGCAGGGTGGAGCTGGGGGACTGTGGCCCATTTCTCACTACAGGGCCCCCAGATTCCTGCCCCTCCCTCTAACCACTGGGCCCCTGAACCTCCCTGAATGCCCCTAATCCCCAAGAAGCCCCTTCCTGTTCCTAGGGCTCCCTTTGTGACCTCAGCTGAGGCCCTGGAGCCCTAGTAGAGGCCCAGACTGTTCAGCAGCCCCATAGGGACCCTACTGAACCCCTCCCAACCAACTCCCAGCAAGGTGTCTCCCATTCTCCCCTTCCACCTCCCCGCCTGTCCTCACAGCCCGTAGGAACCCCTCCTGACCCCATATGGCGTACCCCGCTGTGCCCCATACCTTCTCTCCAGGACTCCCACTGTCTCCCCGAGGTCCTTTCTCACCATCTGCACCTCGCAGCCCTCGTTCACCCTGGACCAGAGGTCAGACAAGGGTCGGGCTGGAGATCCCTCACCCTCTGAGGGTTTGCGCTCTCAGATCTCCTGGTCCTGGCCCCATAGGGGTCCTACCCACACCCAAGGGACACCCAGTCTGCACATGCAGCAGACCCACTCACCATGTCCCCCTTGGCACCCCGTGGCCCCGGAGGCCCCACAATGACGGCTGAGTCACCCTGCGTGGATGGGGGACAGTCAGAGTAGTCAGGAGCACCCTTCGTCCCTTGCCCGTGCCCCCCCATGCCCACACTCACCCTGTCACCCTTTAGCCCTGCGGTTCCGGGGTCGCCCTATTGGATGGAAGAGAGTGAGTCTCACCCAGATAGAGGAGTCCCCAGTCCTGAATCACCAGACCATCCCCCCTCCACTCCCCCCAGGGGCCTTTTCCTTACCTTCTCCCCACGCTCCCCCCGGCTCCCCGGGGCGCCCTGTGTGAGAGAAGGAGACTGTGAGCTGAGGGACTTGGGGGGGACTAGTGGGGAGACAGTTCAGGGGGCAGGGGAGGAATGGGGGGCTCGGGAATAGATGAGACAAAGGACCAGAGAGTAGACAGGCAGGGCCAGGGGCTGTGGAGGCTGCAGAGTCCCGAGGGCACAGAGGGCACAGGCAGGTGATAAAGTCACACCACTGGCGCGTTCCCCAAGGGGACCCACCATAAGTCCTCGGGGTCCCTCCTGGCCAGGATGGCCATCTTCACCCTGTAAGGTGACATTAAATTCACTGAATCAGAAGTTGGGTTTAAAGGTGAGCTCAGTAACAGAGGGAGCCCCAGCGTGGCCCCATGCCGGGGGCTGTGGCCACAGAGCAGGACGTACGCACCCGGACACCTGGCTCCCCACGCTCTCCACGGGCTCCGGGCAGCCCTACTCCAGCGTCACCCTGGAGGGCAACAGGACACCAGGGATAAGTGAGGGGAATCAGTGAGGACAGAGGGTCATGGGAGGTGGGAGGGGGTGACAGGGTCAGTGGAGGTCAGAGGGGGTGACGGGGTCAGTGGAGGTCGGAGGAGGTCGGAGGGGTGACGGGGTCAGCGGAGGTGGGAGGGGGTGACGGGGTCAGTGAAGGTCAGAGGGGATAACGGGGACAGAGGAGGTCGGAGGTGATGACGGGGTCAGTGGAGGTCGGAGGGGGTGACGGGGTCAGTGGAGATCGGAGGAGGTCGAAGGGGTGACGGGGTCAGTGGAGGTCGGAGGGGGTGACGGGGTCAGTGAAGGTCAGAGGGGATAACGGGGACAGAGGAGGTCGGAGGGGGTCGGAGGGGGTGATGGGGTCAGCGGAGGTCGGAGGGGGTGACGAGGTCAGCAGAGGTCAGAGGGGGTCGCAGGGGTGACGGGGTCAGCGGAGGTCGGAGGGGGTGACGGGGTACAGAAGAGAGCCAGCAGCACTGTCCCATCTACCTTGTCTCCTTTGAGTCCGGAGGCCCCAGGTGCTCCCTGTGGGCAGAGTGAGTGACGGTCCAGTGCCCCTCGGAGGCACACACATACCCAGCCACACAGTGGAAAACCCCAGCCTTATTCTCATGTGGACAGACTCAACGCAGGAGTCAGACACATGGGGTTTGGGCTTCTACTCACCACTGACCCTGGTGGTCCAGGTGGCCCCACGGGACCTGGGGGTCCCTCTCTCCCTGAGGGGCCTGCCAGACCCTGCCAGAAAAACGAGGCAAGAGAGGCAGAGGTGACTTAGGAGTCTTCCCCCGCCCTGCTTCCTAAGACTTGGAGCCCTGAGGCAGGGCCTGGGTACCCTTCTCCTCGCCCACCTCCAGGTTCAGGGGTCCTGACGTCACCACCTCATGTGCTGCTCCCAGCACCCTTACCCGCTCTCCGCTGGGGCCCGGCTGACCCATCTCCCCTCGAGGGCCTGGCGGACCAGGAAAGCCGACAGTACCAGGAGCACCGGCAGGGCCGGAGGGGCCCACGTCTCCCTGGCACACAGAGAGCAAAGGAAGGAGCGGTCCCAGGACTGGCCCAGAAGGCCCTCTTCCTCCCCTCCAGGGGCCTCCTTGCCCACTGCCCCCACCACTGGGGATGGGGCAGTGACTTACTTTCAGACCTGGAGGACCAACTGGCCCGGGGGGCCCCTGGACCCCGATTCCTGGTTCACCCTTGGAGGTAAAAGGGGTCAGATTAGGCTCGGGGAGTCTCAGGACCATGACCCCCGCAGGGACAGTCTGGGGCACACCTACCTTATGACCCTTGACTCCTGGAGCCCCTTTAAATCCCTAGAAAAGGCAAAGTAAACGGCACGTGAGAGGTAAGAACATGCACCCGGAGCTCGGACAGGCTCCAAAGGAGCACCAGCTGAGTGCAGATGTGACCAGACACGGGGAGCTCAGACACGTGACAAGGATCGGCTCACGGGAGCTCAGAGGTGATCACAGACTCGTGAGGGCACACACAGAGGGACGCTCAGGCATGACCACAGACACAGGGAGCTCACACATGAGCACTGACATATGGGACCAAGGGTGTGAGCGTAGATACACAGGAGCGTGGACAGGAGCAGAAACTCAGACGCATCTCATCCATAGACATGAACTCAGGTACACGGAGCACAGGCGGGGCGGGGGAGAGGCAGCATACACGTGACCAAGGAGAGGCCCACAAATACTCGGCTGGGTCCTGAAACCTGGGCGCAGGGTCAGGAACAGAAGACTGAGGGTGGACACGCAGAAGCAAAGGTGGGCCCCGAGCCCTGGGAGTGTGTACTCCGGGAGTAGGGATCCTGAATTCTGGAATGCGCAGCCAGGCTGGGGTTCAGACAGGTGCACAGGCCCAGGAATGGTCCCCATTCTACAATTTCACTCCTCAACCCAGGCTCTGACGTGCCCAGGCCCCAACTCACATCTTCCCCGGGGTCTCCAGGCTCCCCTGCACGGCCAGCTTCTCCCTGCACAGATGCACAGAAAGGCGGTGAGGGGTCTGGCCTTCCCCACCTACCCCGCCCTGCTCAGCCTGGGGACCAGCCCACCTCACCTTCTCACCCCTCGGGCCCGGCAGTCCTCGGTCCCCTTTGGCTCCCTAGAGAGATGGGTCAGAGGCAACAGGGTCACGTGTGGGCATGTTGGGGGAGCGGAAGGTTATCAGGGTGGGCGAACTGTGCTGCCAGAGCTCCGCACTCACCGGCTGTCCCACCAGGTCTCCAGCACGGTCTCCAGGGGCTCCCTGTGAGGGCGAGGGCTCAGTGGGGTTCCTGGGCCCCTCACTCAGCCCCACTGCCCTCCTCTCCCTTGGCCCCCCACACTCACCTTCTCCCCCTTGGCTCCAGGGGGCCCGGCCGCAGCCTATAGGAATGCCCAGTGAGTCAGCAGGCCTCCTGCTGTCTCCCCCAACACTGCTGCCCCATGGGTGGTGCCAACCAGGCTGGGGGTGGGGTCAAAAATCACCTGTCCAGGGGCCCCCGTGGGTCCAGGCTCTCCTTTAGGTCCGACTGGGCCCGGAAGACCTGGCGACCCCTGTGGTGGAGCAGAGTGAGGAACAGTGCTCCCCCCTCCATGCCCCTGCCCCCGGAGCCCTCAGAACACACACCGGCACGCCAGGGGCTCCTCGGTCTCCATCTTTGCCACCGGCGCCATCACGACCCGGGGCTCCGGGCTTCCCTGTCTCCCCCTGAGAGAGAGGAGCTCTGTCAGGGGCTGCCTGCTGCCCCTGAGCCCTAGAGCCCATCCCCCAGCCCTGACCCTCAGGACTCACCACCTGTCCGGGCAAACCTGGCGCTCCCTGCGGACCCTGAGGGAGAGAAGTCAAACATGAGGAAGACACAGAGCGCCGGACGGGACATGGTGTCCCTGCTGGGGCCAGAGGGGACTCACTCACCACGAGGCCTGAAGAACCAGGGGGCCCGGGCAGTCCCACGGGTCCGGTTGGTCCAGGCAGGCCCTGGGGGAGAAGAGGATCAGCGCGGTGCCAACCCCACCCTGCTCCTGGGACCCTGACCCACGGCCTGGGCCACTCACCCGTCCTGGTGGTCCTGTCTCTCCAGGCTCCCCCTGCCAAAAACCAGAGATGGCACGAGCCCACAGGACAGGAGGCGCCGCAGCCCGAGCCCCCGGCAGAGCTCCCGGGCTGGGCCCCTTGGGGCTCAGCCTCACTGCAGAGCAGTGCGCCCCAGGAGGCTGGCACATGTTGCCCTGGTGCAGACATGGCCCAGGAGCCGCTTCCTCCGTCCAGCCACACCCCACACACTTCTACTCACCTTTAGGCCAGATGGTCCCTGCGGTCCTGCGGGCCCAGCGAGACCCTAGAGAAAAGTGTCAAGGAAAAGGGGCAGGGGTCAGTTGTCCAGCTGGGCTCAGGGATGAACACAAAGTCTGGCTCATCAGCGGGGACTGATACCTGTCCCACCCCCACCAGGCAGTGCTCTCTGTCACTCACCGGGGCACCAGGCGGTCCAGGGTCTCCATGGCCACCCTGTTGGAGAGGGAGTCTGAGGATGGGGAGCCAGTACCACCCCCAGGGAAACTGAGGAAGTACCATCCATTGTGGGGGCTGAGCACAGGATGGGGGCACGAGGGGTGAGGATTCTGGGGTACTCACCACTGGGCCAGGGGTCCCCCTTGGACCTTGCAGACCCTGGGCAGAGAAGGGGGCTGCTGAGCTTCAGTTCGGGCCTCGCTTGGGCTGCTCCCGCCCTCTGGAGGCCTTTGCTGGCCCACCCTCCCAGGCAGAGGCCACCCCACACCCACGACTGCTCCTCATGGACAACACACACGGGCCTGTGCGTGACACGTGCGCACACGCGCACACACACATCATGCATCCGCACTCACAACCGGGCACACAGGAACACGGCCTTGTCACTGAGCACTGCTGACGTGCACACCGCCGAGGGAGGCCACTGCCCAGAGCCTGGGTCAAGCTGTCCCTGCCACTGCCACCACTCACCGGCTTCCCTTCAGGCCCAGCCACGCCGCGCTCTCCTGGTAGACCCTGGGGAGAAGAGGTTTCAGGCCGCGCTGTCCCCGTCCCCCACCCCGGATACTCCCAGGCACTGCAGACTCCAGTCCGGACATAGGTGCTGCGGGGCCAGGACTCACCGGGTTGCCATTGAGACCCCTCGGTCCAGGCTCTCCCTGGTCTCCCTTGATGCCTGGCGCACCCTGCAAATGGAGTGTCATGCTGAGCCCCAGTCACTGCCACAGGCCCACGTACACCCACCCCAACATGCCCCCACAGAGGAGGGGAAGCGTGTGGGGTGGAAGGTCTCACCCTGTCTCCTTTGGGGCCGCGGTCACCGTCACTGCCTGGCTCCCCCTGTGGGGATGACATATCAAGCCAGGACCTGGTGCCATGCGGGAGGTGGTCCTAGGTTAATCCCACACACTGACCTTAGCGCCCTTGAGTCCAGGGGTCCCTTGTCCTCCCCATAGTCCAAGATCTGGCTTGTCCACGTCCTATAAGCATTAGGTCACAGGGAAGAGATGCGTCTGTCACAGAGGCATGGAGGGGTCATCCCAGATCACAGGGTCCCAAAGGGTTATGGGGTCAGAGACACCACACGGAGTTTCTGAGGCCTACGCTAATGGTGGCCGTCGCAGGCCCAGGGCAGGGCTGGGGTGATTACCTTGGGGGCAGGGGGGCCAGGGGGCCCAGGGGGGCCAGGGGGGCCAGCTGTGCCCTGCAGAAAAGAGAAATGGGTGGCTGCCCAGCACAGCCTGTAGGCTGTCCCGCCTCATAAGGCCCCATCCCAGCTCACCTGTCCTCCGCGTTCTCCTTTCTCTCCCCGTTCTCCCTAACAGGCAAATAGCAGGGTGGGGAGTACGTTGGTAGGGAGTCCAGCTCCTCCTGACCCCATATTCCTGGCCCTCCCGGCCATTCCCCAGGCTCACCCTTTCTCCTGGCCTTCCTGCCTCCCCCACACCCCCAGCCGAGCCTGGGAGCCCAGGAATACCAGGCTTTCCAGGCTCCCCAGCCAGGCCGGGAGGTCCAGGGGGGCCCCTCTCCCCAAGGGCCAGGCCAGGTGGCCCCTGAGGGCCTGGGTCTCCACGATCTCCCTTCGGCCCGCGGTCTCCGGAAAAGCCGGCGGGCCCCTGGAGGAGCAGAAGAGTAGATGCTGGTGGCTGCAGGACCACACCCTCCACAGGGCACCCCCACTGAGCAGCCGGCACATACCTCCTTGCCTTGGGGGCCCCGCTCGCCTGGGTGCCCCTTGGGGCCGCGCCACTGTTCAGGAACATGCAGGAAGCTGCCGGAGCTCTCGTCCCAGGTCTCCCCAATCTTCCGCAGAGCAGACACCTGAGTGACAGCGAGGGTCGGAGAAGCAGGGCCCATTACTGCAGTCCCCATGCCCTGGCCCAGCCCTGTGGGCATACTCGGCCCATGGGGGCCCCCCAGTGCCCACACCCAGCCCTCAAGCACCCTACCTTGATGCCAATATTTTCCAGCATCCGGTCCACATTCTGGAAACACAGGCTGGGTGAGGGGCCGCCCGCAGAAAAGCCCCGCCTCTGCCCCATTGCCCCGGAAATAGCCCCCACCCCCGCTCTCTTCCCCAGGCCTTTTACCAGAGGCCCCTTGGCCCTTGGTTGAGGCCACTCAAGGCCACTGGAAGTCCCTCCCTGGCATGTCCCCATTGCCCAGGTCCCCCTGAGTGTAGCCCACAGGAATCCCAATGGGGCAGGTGGCAGAGCATGCGAAGAATATGTGGGACCTCGCAGCAAGGGGAGGGGGACAGAGAGGGGCTCCTGGAGGCAGGCAAGGACCGGGTCCCAGCCTCACTCACCTGCACTCCCCCAGGTTCTCCTCTCAGGCCTCGTTCTCCAGGGAGGCCCTGGACACAAGAGACAGCTGCTGGGCCCAGCGTGTGGGGCATGTGTGTGCTTGTGTGGGTGCTGTGGCTACCCGGGCAGGAGGAAAGGTGGGGGCCTCACCTGTTCACCTTTGGATCCAGTGTCCCCGCGGTCACCCTGAAAACAAAGAATGATCAGGTGGGGGAACGCCCCAACCCTCGTCAGCCCCTCACCACACCTCCCCGCAGCATGCACGCTCACCTTGGGGCCCGAGCTCCCTGGAACACCAGGAAAACCCTAAGGTATGACAGAACACGAAGGGGTCACACAGGACCATGGCATCCTGGGAGGGTGTCCAGTGGGAGCGCAATGGCCCCTGTGGCTCCCAAGTCCTAGACTAACCCTGAACACTCACCTGGCCAGGAGGCCCGACTTGCCCTGGGAGGCCTGGGGGGCCAGGGAGTCCAGGGCTGCCAGGAGCTCCACGGTCACCCTTGGGGCCATCGTGACCCTGTGGAGGATACAGCCAGCATCAGGGCCCTGAGACCCAGAGAAGACTGGAGCCATAGATCACAAGGTCAGGGTCAGGGTCAAGGTCAGGGTTAGAGGTTGCAGAAGACTCTAGCACTCACTTCTCTCCCAGGGTCACCCGAATTTCCCTTCTCTCCCTGTGGAAGACGAGGGTGCTTCAGACATGGTCCCGATCTGGGGCCAGAGCAAACTCCAAGTGAGGGGCTTTACCTTCTTCCCATCCTGTCCGGGCTCCCCGGGTTCTCCCTGTGGGCAGAGGATGCACGTCAGCAAAAACACTCACCAGTGTCTGGCTGCCAGAACCTGCCTCAGTGGCTCTCAGGTGACTGTCTGTGCCTGTGGCTCCAAGCTCTGGGTGTCTGAGCATGGCCTGTGAGCATCTGAGTGAGCCTTCACATTTGAGGGTGTGTCTGAGTGCGTCTACTCGCCTCCGCACTTAACTACGTCATCCCGCCTCTGGCTCCCTGCATGTAACTCCCCATCTGGGCATCTTTAGGAATGGTGAGTGTGTCCACCTGCCCGGGTCTGTGTATCAGCGTGTGTACCTGTGCATGGGTCTGTATGTCCTGGTGGGTGACACTGGGTAGATGTCTCTTGATCTGTGTCTGCAGATGGGCAGGGACTTCTGCAGGTGTGCACAGGATGAACTCGTGTCTGCATGTCCCTGGTGCCTTGACATGTGTATCTCAGTATGTGCAGCCGGATGTATGTGAGTAACTGGATACATATGTCCCAAAATGTGTCGCATGTGAGAGCCTTGGATGTGTGCCAGATCTCAACAAGGTCCACACGTGGCCCCCAGTCCATGTCTTAGCACATTTCTGAGTATATGTAGAGGAGTTTACGTGTCAACATGTCTCCAAGTGTCCCTGAATGTGGCCTCATCCAGTGTCTGCACCTCTCAATCTGTGTCTGTGGCTCTTCGTTTTTGAGTGGCTGTGGGTTATTCCAGCACGTGTCGGCCCATCTGAGCATGAGTCATCACGGCCACCTAACTCACTATCTGCGAGGCTGACTGTGCGCACACGGACGGGTTTCAGGATGCATCTGTATGTCTGCACTAGGCTGCAGGTGGGCCCCTCTAGCCCGTGTCTGCGTGTGTGCCCCATCTGTGTCTGCACTAGGCTGCAGGTGGGCCCCTCTAGCACGTGTCTGCGTGTGTGCCCCATCTGTGTCTGCACTAGGCTGCAGGTGGGCCCCTCTAGCCCGTGTCTGCGTGTGTGCCCCATCTGTGTCTGCACTAGGCTGCAGGTGGGCCCCTCTAGCACGTGTCTGCGTGTGTGCCCCATCTGTGTCTGCACTAGGCTGCAGGGGGGCCCCTCTAGCCCGTGTCTGCCCCATCTGTGACTGCACTAGGCTGCAGGTGGGCCCCTCTAGCCCGTGTCTGCGTGTGTGCCCCATCTGTGTCTGCACAGCTGGATTCTGTCCATTTCTCGGCAGTTTTGCCGTGTCCGCCCTGGGCACTCACGTTTTTCCCATTCAGGCCTGGCTTGCCATCCTCGCCTGGCTTTCCCTGTGGGAACAGATTATTGGTCAGAAGTCAGAGCTGGGGTAAGGGCAGTAAGGGGGCAAAAGGGAACCATGAAAGCCAAGACTCACCTGTGCTCCAGGGGGACCAGGTTGTCCTCGTTCTCCTCGGAGGCCCGGAGGCCCCTGAAAAAAGTCTTTGCTAGGATTGAGGGGACCACCAAGATAACCCCTGGGCCCACCAGGGAAGACCCCATTACGATGCTCCTTCAGTGTAGAGACCCTCAGAATTGGGAGGTGCCACTGAGACCCCAAGGGTTAGGGGGCCCACTGCTGAAACTCCCAAGGGAAGGGACCCTAGGGCAGAGAAGGTTAGAAAATGGGGCTCTGCTAAAACCTGCCTGCCAGGGCCTGGGACCCCTCCCAGAGACAGGGCTTGACCAACTCCCCTCCCCGCTGATGGCTCCTCTGACCCACTGCAGTCTGTGCTGATCCCTGAGCTGCCCTCCCCCTACCATCTCCCCTACTTACGTCTCTCCCCGGGTCCCCAGCTCTGCCTGCAGCACCCTGAGGAGAGACCCAAAGTCAGGGAGTCCACAGGGGTCATGGAGTCAGGGACACTGCCTGCTAACAGGGCCACTACTCCCTGTGAACCCAAGGCCTGCAAGGTCACAATACCCCCACCCAGGCAGGGTTCTAGGAGACACAGATAATCTGTTTGGCCCCAGAGCTCATCAAGAACAAGAAGACCCAGATGAGGCTAGGGTCACCCAAAGGGGTGAGGGAAGGGGTGTGACCAGGCAGAGATCACCATGACTCACCTGAAGCCCAGGAGGGCCGGGGGTTCCTGGCTTCCCATCCAGCCCACTGCGGCCATCCAGGCCAGGAGGTCCCCGATCACCCTGAGGAAAACCGTGTGGTAAGAGGCCTCAAAAGAAGAGTCCGGCCGGTGTGGCTCAGTAGTTGAGCATCAACCCATCACCAAGAGGTCACCAGTTCGATTCCCGGTCAGGGCACATGCCCAGGTTGTGGGCCAAATCCCCAGTGGGGGGCAGGCAGGAGGCGGCCAGTCGATGTTCTCTCTCATCGATGTTTCTATGTTAAGATCACTCACAGTCAGAAACCTCCACTTTCTCTCACCTTTTCTCCTGCTGGGCCTCGACTGCCTGGGTCCCCCTGGAGAAAACAAGATCAGTGAGAGGTGAGGGCACGATGAGGGTGCAGGTGGATGGGGCAAAGTGCATCACTCACCTGGGGGCCTGGGGGCCCGCGAGGTCCAGCGATGCCCTGAGAACAAGGAAGGAAGAGATCAGAGCAGGACTCCCCGGGCCCACACCTCCCCACAGGACCAGCCACACTCACCCTCTCCCCAGAGGCTCCAGGGGGGCCAGGGTCACCCTTGGGTCCCTGCGGACCCTCCTGTCCACGGTCCCCAGGCTCTCCCTGTGGCAGACAGACTTGCTGAGCGAACAGCCCTCGAGCCGCAGGCACGCTGAGGCTGAGGCTGTCTGGGGCCCTGGGAGGCCTTCATGTGCTCAGAGCTTCGCTCCGCCCACAGACTCTGATACCTTCAGTCTGGCTCCAAGTCCCGTGTCCACCTGTGGGGGTGACAGTGAGAAGAGTAGTTCAACCAGGGGAAGGGGGTTGGTGAGGGCAGAGGGGCCATGAAGAGCTGTGGGATCAATGAAGATATCAGGGGAATGGGGGGAAGTGGGAGTCAGTGGAAGGGATGAGGGGACACGGCGTGGAGCCAACAGGGGGTATGAGAGGACCAGACCCAGCTCAATCCTTACCAGCTGTCCAGGGGGTCCTGGGGGACCCTGAGAAAGGAAATAATTGTCATCAACAGGAGCCCTGATGCTCCAGGGCATTGCTCAGGTTTGCCCTCCCAGATACCCTGCAGACCCCAACGCCAACCCCCAGAGAGCAGGTCAGGCCTGGACGTGGCCATCAGCAGTCCCCACCGTGACCGCCAGTCCCTACGTGGGCACCGACCAGACCAAGCGCTGGAAACCTCCATTCCTCCCGATCCAGAACACCAGCACAACTCACCGGCTCGCCACGGTCACCCTTGGGTCCAGATGGTCCAGGGCTGCCCTGCAGAAAGTCAGACAGTCAGGGACACTGAGTTAACACAGCAGTTTGGGGAGCTTTGGAGCCACCCTAAGGACTCACGGGAATCCTGGTGACCTTTGGGGGTTGTGATGAAGGGTCACAGAAAATGAGGATTGTCAGGGTGTAGCATTTCAGGGTTGGGGTGGCCAGATCAGGAGCTGGGAACTGGATGGTTGGGCATTAAAGTTGAGGTTAGGGGTCAGGGGTCAGGGGTCAGGACTCACATTTCGTCCATCCTCTCCAGGATCTCCCCGGTCTCCCTTTTCACCCTCAGGCCCCCGAGCTCCAGGTGGCCCCTGGGGAAAGCAGCTGGTCTGAGCCAAACCTTCCCTACATTTTGCAGGTCCACTCATGACCCCCTATTCTGCCTCAGTTCCCCATTACCCCAAAAATTATGCCAGAGTTTCCCATCACTGCATGCTTTCCTGAAGGGTCCCCATCACCCCACTCCAGACTCCCATCACCCTTTCTCTCCTCAGTGGTTCCTACCACCTTCATGCCCACCTCCTACAGGTTCTTCCATCACCCCTACTTCTCCCTGCCAAGCCTCACCCGAAGGCCACGTTCGCCAGCTTTTCCAGGCAAACCGGGGTCACCCTGGTGCAGGAGAGAAAGCCACACAGAGCTGGTGAGTGGGGACAGAGAAGGGCCTGGGCACCCGCTGGACAGGATGCAGGGGATGGACTGGATGACCTGGGGGGTTGGCGGCCCAGGGATCACAGCTCAAGGGTAAAGCACAGGAAACCACAGTGGGAGGGAGTCTCACCGGGGAGCCTTCGTCACCTTTCTCTCCACCTTCACCCTGCAAGACCTGAGAGTCAGCTCAGGTCCCAAGACCCTCGGGATGTCATCAACACCCTAGCCCCACCCCTGAGGACACCCGACACAGCCCTCTTACGTCTCGTCCTCGGGGGCCGAAAGGTCCCGGGGCGCCAGGCCGCCCAGGGTCTCCCTTCTCGCCAGGAGGTCCTGAGTCGCCCTGTGGAGGAGGCAGAATGGGGCCGCATACAGCAGCCAGCCTTGAGGGAAGGGGAGCCCAGAGACCATGACATTGCCAGGGTCACAGGTACTCACCGGGGGTCCAGCTCTACCAGTGAGGCCGATGGGACCCTGCGGGGCATGGGGAGGGAGAGGGGACTTAGTTGGGGCTCCCAGGCACCACCTCATCTCCTTCTGACACACTCCCTATCCCCACATTTATTCACCCGGCTTCCAGGGTCTCCCTTGGGGCCAGGGTCTCCAGGAATAACCAAGCCAGGTGGGCCCTGTGGGTGGAGAATCAGCAGTGGGGGGGTGTCGGGGAGCCTTCACCTTCACCCGCTCTCCTCCCAAACACTCCCCTTCACTCACCGGCTCCCCTTTGACTCCCGCAGCTCCTCTGGGCCCAGCAGGCCCCACATCTCCCTGCAAGCGACAAGACCGTGGGCGCCAGCCCCAGGCTCCATGACCCACACCATGCAGCAATCCTGCCACGACTCTCAGGACCTCCAGGGGCCTCAGGCAGGCTCTGTGACCCTAACCTCATAGACGCCTCCCCGTTCTCCCCAGACGTACCTTCTCTCCTTTGACTCCAGCAGGTCTCTGAAAACAAACAGGACAAACACAGCTTGGCCCAGCCTGGAGATCACAGCCTGCAGCCTTGACTGAGGATGGGGTTATATAGAACTGGAAGTCACAGTCACTGCTGGGAGCCGGGCAGGGTTACACAAGTTCAACCCATATGCTGTCATGGGGGCCACAGGATCACAGCCAAGAGTTGGGAGGCATGTCATAGCATGAGAGTCATGGGGCTCGGAGCCTGCCCCGGGTCCCGAGGTTATGGAGACACTGGCTTACAGGTCAGTCACTACTGCTCAAGGGCTGCGCTGTGCTCAGAGCCCCACCCTCCCTTCACTCACCAAGACAGGGTCCCCAGGGCTGCCAGGCTCCCCCTGTGGAGAAAGGATAGGGGCAGAGATGGGACAGAGACCACCGGGGAACCCCATGTCCCAGTGTCTCACCTGCCATGATCCCTGCTACAGGGGGCAGGGGTGGGACACTGGACCCCAGCCCGTGACCCACCTTTTCTCCTTTGCGGCCAGTGGGTCCTGGTGGCCCCTGCACGTGGAGAAAGTGTGAGCGCAGGAGAGGAGGAACACGTGAACGCCCCACTACTGATCCCACGACAGTCACAAACTCACTTCAGGACCCTCCGCTCCAGTATGTCCTGCAACTCCCGGCAGCCCCTGGGGAGGAGTAGAAATGCTGATCCAGGGGTGAGGACAGGGCACAAGGCAAACAAGGGCTAGAGGCTGAGGGTGGGGCTGGAGATGGGTCTGGTAAAATCAGGATATAGGTCTGCAGGAGTCAAACTTAGCAGGGGTCAAACTCCAGGTCAGCGGAGGTCAAGGTCAGTTCAGCAGGGTCAGAAAGCTAAAAGCAGGTCCCTGGGGTTAAGGGTTAGAACCTGCATCAGCACAGATTAGGGGCATGTGAGGAGGGGTCAAGGGGCAGAGGCAGTGGGGGTCAAGGGCCAGAAGTCAGAACCAGGAGGGGCCCAGAGCCTAGGTCAGTTGGCACTAGCATTGCAGTCAGTGGGTTTACCTGTGGTCCCACTGGGCCAGGGGATCCACGTTGGCCCTGATGAAATAGAATGGGTCAGAGCTGAGTCTGGCCCCAGACACCCCCCACCCCCCGAGTCCTAAGAGCCTCCCAGGCTGCACCTACCTTTTCTCCAGTCTCACCCACAGCCCCTGGCAGTCCTCGGTCACCCTGAGGGGAGAGAGACAGGAGAGGGGTCTTGATTGTCAAACTCTGACCATCTCACCTCTGAAACTACAATCTCTGACCTGGAGAGAACCCTTATCTCCAATACTCCCACCTCCCCTAATCCTACAGGGGTCCCAGTGTGTCACCCCTCATACTAGACCTCTCCTAAATGGCACTTACTTTGGGGCCAACATCTCCAGGAGGTCCTCGTAGGCCCTGGAAGGGATTCAGAGTTTTGGTTTGGGCATAGCGGGGAGTAGAAGGTTGATGGCCGAGGGTTGGGGCTGGAGCTATGCCCTACACTCACCCGCTCACCCGGGGTCCCAGGTTTTCCTGGGAGGCCGGGGGCTCCATCTTCACAGTCACCCTGGAGGAGAAACAGATGGTAGAAGACCATGTTCCCCAGCGCCCAGAGCCCCCTGCCCCAGAACTGGAACACCGAGAGGTCAGTACCCTACCTTTTCTCCTTTTTCTCCAGGGGGGCCAACTGGGCCTTGGAGTCCAGGGTTTCCGGGAAGACCCTAAGAAGAAGTGAGTAAAAATGAGAGCCCCCAACTAGGAGGCCCACCCACTGCCCCAGCAGAGTCCCCAGCCCCCAGCCACATGACCTACCGGCAGCCCTGGGTCCCCTGGAACAGTGCTGCCGTCGCCCGGTCCAGGAGGACCCTGGGACAGAACAGCAGCTCAGGGGGTGGCCAAGGGGAATCAGAATCCGAGCCACCCTCTGCATACCTTGTCCCTCACTTACCCGCTCTCCACGATCGCCTTTGTCACCCTGGAAGACAGATCATGACCTCATGACCTTGGACCACACCTGCACTCTCCAAGATACCAGGAGGAATGAGGGTCATGGGGTCCAATTGGATTATTAAGGTTGTGGAGTAACTGAGGAGTCATGGGGGGTAGGTCAAGGGTTCACATGGGCTCAGAACAACTGAGATGACATGAAAAACATGAGACCATATGGTGGTCATACTGTCACCTTCACAGCTGTTCCAGGAAGTCCTGGGGGACCACGGGGTCCTGGGTCCCCCAATGGGCCACGAATCCCAGGAGGGCCCTGGTGAGGAGACAAAGTATAAAGACCAACTCCACAAATATATCCTCATCCTGCCTCCTGTTGTTCCCCATCACACACCACTGTCCCCCACATACCCTAGAACTTACCTGAGGTCCAGGGTCCCCTTTCATCCCAGGAAGGCCTAAGCCATCCCGCCCAGGGACTCTTCCAGTCTCTCCCTGCAGGAACAGAGAGCAGTGGGCAGGATTCTGGGTGTGGGAGCCTTGAGGTGGGAGAAGCCCCTAGAGGTGCCCAGCTAAGTTGCCTTAGGCCCTGCCGTCTGGCCTGGGGCAACCCTGCTCTTCCCTGGGACTTCCTGGCTCCCTCCCTTCCCCTTTCACCTACCGGCTCCCCCTTCGGGCCTCGGGGTCCTCGCTCCCCCTGAGGACAAAACAGAGCAAAGGGTGATGCTTGAGCTCAGGTGAGTCTTGGGGTGGGCCCCCATGGGCCACCACCACCCCACCAACCCACATTCCAACTCTGCCGAAAGAACTCTGGGAAGATGCTGGGAACGCATCAGAAGGAACAGCAACTTACCGGTTCTCCACGAGGGCCAGGCACCCCTGGGGAGCCCTGTAAGTGGAGGCCGGAGACAAGACAGTCAGACCACCCCTCCCACTCAAGCAAAGTGTCCCACCTGTGACCTACAAGGGCGAGGCTCACTCACCTGTGGGCCAGGTATTCCAGGAGTCCCAGGAAGGCCAGGGCTGCCTGGATCCCCATCTGCCCCAGGGAAGCCCTAAGGAGGCAAAGAGCTCAAGGCTGGAAGGGACCCTCCCTCAGTGCCCCTGGCTTGCTGGAGGAGCCCAGACTATTCTTTATCTGGGCTCCTCACCTTACAGGTCCCTGAGTGTTGTTGGGGGTGGAGCAGTGGGGCAGAGAAGTAGCCCCTCCGAGCTGGATGGAGCCTAACCCCAGGCACAAGGACAAGGGTCAGGTAGAGGTTCTTTCTGCCTCTGGGACTTAGAACTTCCGCCAGGCTCAAAACCCCACTGGCCTCTCTGCTTCACACTCCTCCCCAGAATCAGAGTGGGCTTTATAATATCCAGTTAGGCTTCTGGGACACTCTGTGGTTCTAACTCTGCTCTTTCCTTCTCTCTTCTAAAATCCCTCAGAGAACGGCGAAGAGCGTCTTAGGGGAACCTCGGTGGTCTCCACACTCACCCTGTCGCCCTTTGCAATGGAACTCCCAGGCGGCCCCTGGGGGCCAGGAGCACCCATCCTGCCCTGAAAGGAAAGAGCAGGTAAGGAGGAGTATGCCTTCAGGGCAGAGAGGACAGGTACGGGGAGGCACTCCCTGGGAGCCAGGGGCACCAGGAGCTTCGTCTTGTCCTTTTAGGCCCTAGAAAGGGTGGTCATTGACACCTGTGCTGCCAACCTCTTCCTGTCCCACTGCCCCCCAACCATTCTCTCCCACTTCCCCCCACACCACGGCTACTCACCGTCTCTCCAGGTTCCCCCTTCTGGCCCTGGGGAAAGACATGTTGGACTAGAGTCAGAGTGGCTAACGACAGGTGTGGTTCCTGCCCACTCTCTCAACCCTGGACACTTACCTTTGGACAATGCACCGAGCAAGGCTGTGGCTGTGGCTGTGGCTGTGGACACAGGGTCTCCTTGAGTCCAGGAAGTTCCACCAAGAGCCCCCAGACTCCCTCTTCTCCATGACCTAGCCCCCCAGAGGCCCCTTCCAAACCTGAGTGGCCAAAGCTACCTGACACAAGGCTGTGGCCAGACTACTGACTGCCCGGTCCAAGCTTGGACCATCATCCACAGCGAAGAAGGTCTGGACAGGGTCTATGCCTGACACCAAGCGATGCAGCTGTTCTGGGTCAGCTCCCGCCAGGCCCAAGATCATCACTTTGAGCCCTGAGGAGGGGTCCAGTAGCCTGCATGACAACCCTGCCGGGGCCAGCCTTACACCAGCTCCCCCTCCCCCGGCAGCCCTACACCTCACCAGCAGTCTGGGCTTCACGGATAGGGTTGAGGATGTCACCTCTCAAGGGCTCATCCACTAACAGAACCATCACCCCTGGCACTTGCTGGCGGCGTCCGGGAGCATCTGGTGCCAACAGGTATCTGTGGGCTGTGACCACGGCTGTGCCTGGGAGAAAGGACATGTCAGAACCCAGGGCACTGAGCTCCCAGTGGGGAAGCCCCAAGAGTCCATGCCCAGTGCAGTCTTACCCACGTTGTTCCCATTTGGGTCTATGTAGGGGATGTTTCGTATCTTCTGCAGGATGACACCAGGGTCATGGGAACTGTTCAGTGGGAACAGTGGGGAGGGCCGGTGATTGTAGGTCAGGAGGCCAACCTGGGATGGGGGAGACACAGAGCCTGGGGAGGATGACAAAGCAGGAATGGGAGACACAAAGCCTGAGGGGCAGGTTAAACCTGAACTATTAGGGTCAGCAGTGACGGTAGGATAGGGAGCCAAGCAGCAGGGAAGAGATCTGGACCCTAGGAAAGGGCTGGGGGAAACCCTGGACTGATGGTAGGGGGGGAAATGGTAGCTGGTGTGGAGCCCAGAGTCGGGGAGAGCCAGGACAGGTAGGGGTCTGGTTGCCTTTGGGGCCAAACCTGGACTGCCTGTGGCCCAAGAGGCCCAAGTGCAGACACCAGACGCCCCAGGGCTCTCTTCACAGCCTCTGAATGACGAGCACTGCTGAGCGTGGTGTGCAGCAGGAAGACCACGTCCATCAGGACATGGGGACACACTGCAGGAAGGGGGCCAAGTTACTGAAGAGGTCGAACATCTAGCCACCCCCTTAGGCCCCTCCCACGGTGACCACCATACCTGGACTCTGTGTGACAGAGGCCTTAGGACCCTGTACACCCTCCCGGACAGGTATCAGGGAGAAGATGTAGGAGATGCCAGGCTCTAACCCTGTCACCTGCTGGGAGCTCGAGATCCCGGGAAGTGTCTCTGAGGCCCCAAGTGTCTCTGCAGAGGACAGCACTCAATTAAACAGGAGGCCCTCCATGGAGCCCTACTGCCAGCCCACCCCAGCCCTGACCTTCCCTTCACCTTGGCCAGGGCCTCCGAGTGGCCTCCAGGATAGGATGTAGCTGGATACTCCAGACACTGGGTTCCAGGCCAGAGTCACTGAGTCAACTGAAGTATCTACCACGCGCAGTTCAGTGCTTGGGACACGAGGTGACTCTAAAGGAGGAACCAAAGACCAGCGATCAGAGTCTGCACCCTGAGAACCCAGCGAGGGGAGAGCTAAGGAAGCCCTAGGGCAGGTTCACTGTAGTCAAGGAATGTCATGGGAAGTCATGCTGGGGTCACCCCAGGGTCAGGAATGGCAGGCGAGGGTGTGGTGGGGAGCTACAGGAGAAGTCACAGAAGGGCAAGGGGTGCAGAACCAGGATGGGTCATCAGTGGGGGGAAGAGCACACCCCGGAAGGATGGGCCCCGTGGGCTCACCAGTGTACGCAGTCACTTCCTTGGGGGGCCCTTCTCCAGAAGGCCACAAGACACTCAGCCACAAGCGGTATGGGGTCGCCGGCTCCAGCCCATCCAATTCGTAGCTGCTGAGCTCAGGCCCCAGGACCCGAGACTGTTCCTGGCCACCTAGGGCAGGCATGACGGTAGGGACAGGAGGCCCATGGGAGGATGTTATGGCCCAGTATTAATAGTCCTGCCCACCTCGCCGACTCTCACCTACCTTCCTGACAGTGACCTCGCCAGCCTCATTGACTGTCCCTGCTGACCAAGTCCACCCTCTTGACTGAGCTTCCCCATTCTCGCTGACCCTGCCCATTTCACTGATTCTGCCCAACTCTCCCCCTCACTGATCTCACCCACCTGGTTGACTGATCCCCAATGGCCGCGGATGCCGCAGATCCCCACTAACAGACCCTGCCCACTATCGCTGATCTCGCCCACTTCGCCCACCCTGGCGGCCCACAGCCCCACCCACAGGGGTCCCTCACCCCTATGGGGGGGCACTTCTCACCCTCCGGTCGCCAACGCAGACGGAAGCCGCGAGCTCCAGGCACCGGCTGCCACTGCAGCCTCAGGGAGTGCTCCCCTCTCTGCGCCACGTGAAAGCTCTCCAGGGCTGGTGGAACTTCGGGGGCTTGAGAGAAAGCGTGGGAATCAGAGAGGCTCCGCCCCCCCCCCCCCCCCCCCCGTCCCTGTGCCAATCCCAAACCAACTGTGGAACACACACCGCCCCCAACCCCCCAACCGACCCGTTGCCTCTCCCCGGCTTCATCCCGCCTCCACTCTCAGACCCCGCCCCCACCGGCTTGCTGTCAATTTCTGGTCCCCGTGCACAAGCCCCGCCCCCAAACCGGTCAGGCCACCAATCCAAAGCTCTCCCCAAGCCAAGTCCGCCTACGTGTTGTGACGACGATGGAGACAGGTGCGCCCTCACGGTCCCCCACCAGTGCAGTGACTCGCACCGAGTAGCTGACTCCGCCTTCGAGGCCCCGTATTTCTGCTGAGTCCGTGTTTCCCGGGAGTATCTGTTGTCTCGTGGGGCCGCCTGTCCAGGCGAACACAGGCAACGGTCAGAGTCGGGGATAGCTAAGCAGAGGGGGCAATCGCAACCCTAGAGGACAAGGGCGGGGTCAGGGGACCATACCGTCAATCCGACCCCAGGCCAATCTGTAGGCTGTGGCTCCAGGGACCCCCACCCAGGTGATCCGCAGAACATCACTGGAAGCATTGAGGATCTGCAGCTTTGACACACTACCCACGGGCTCAGGGTCTGGGGGCAGAGAACAGGGTGGCCGCGCAGGCATGGTCAATGCAGAGAGGTCTGAGCGTCAGAGGGGGGTTAGTGTGGATAAGTCAGTATAGGAAACCGTGAGAGGGAGGCGGTCAGGGCCTTGGGGTGGGCAGTGGGCAGCAGTCAGGAGGTCGCTGTGGGTGGACACATGTCAGTGAGGGGTAGATCAGTGCCAGAAGAGAAGTTACAGAGCAGTAATGGAGTGGGCAGCTGGAACAGTCGAGAATACACAGCAGGGTGGGGTAGCCAGTGAGATGTGATTAGCAGCTGGCCAGGGTCCACTCACCAGTCCTCACAACTACAGAAGTGGGGGTCCCATCTACACCAGCCACATAGGCCATATGTGTACTGTGTACTCAGTATTTGGCTCCAGCCCATCCAGCTCAGCCACTGTAGCTTCCCCAGAAATCAGCTGGGATTTCTCTGGGCTTGGGAGTGAGGTTGGAGGCAGCTGCAGAGCCAGCCAGACTCTGGCCCCTAGGCCCTGCCTGGACTCCTAAGGAACTTCCAGCCTCTGTTCCATCCAGACCTTTCCCCCAGAGCCCTCCAAAACCTCTGGTCCCCTCCAAATCCCTTGATCCCCACCATGGCTTGAGTGCCAGGAGACCCTGTATCCAGTGGCACCAGGAACCCTGTTCCAGGCAATGGTGACAGATGAGCTGCTGGTTTGAGTCACATGGACTGTCTTCACTGGGCCCAGTGGGCTGAGGGGAGAGGCAATAGGGAGTCTGATGGGGGAGGCAGTGGACAGTCTGATGGGGGAGGTTTGGGGGGCCATCTATAAGGGGAAGATTATTGAAGTCTGATAGAAGGCAGGTATCTGTTAGTAGAGATAAGTGAATGGATCAGATGAAGGAAGAAGTGGGGCTTCTGACAGAGGGGACAGTGGGAATCTGAGGTGGCAGGTGATAGGAATCTGAGAAACAAGAGGGTCTGACAGAGAAGGTAACAGGATTCCTATGGAAGTATTAGGAGGCAGTGAAGGGTCTGACAAAGGAGAAGGTGTAAGTCTAAGAGGAGAGCCGGGTCCAGCAGAAAAGGCAATGGGGGCCCGAGAGAGGGAGGGGTGTAAATTCAAGGCAAAGGTAGCAGGGTTGCAGGCAAGAGGCCGAGGAATCTGAAAGGGCTGGAGCTTAGGAGGAGGCAGGGAGACTGAAGGGGGCTCCGAGGGAGAAGGCAGTGGGGGGAGACTGGAGATCCGGGAGAAGCAAGGGTGTAAGAGGGGAGGCCGGGGAGTCTGACCAGTTCGAGCCACGATCACCGCAGGGGGGCCCTCCTCTCTCCCTCGCAGCGCTGACACAGCCACCTGGTAGGAGGTTCCAGGCTGCAGCCCCATGATATCTGTGGCAGTAGATTCTGGAGACAGTGTCTGGCTGGACTCTGGACCTAGGGTCAGAAGGAAGTGTTGTCATGGCTCCTGCTTGTCCCCTTGATCCCCCATACCCTGGTCATTCCCCTCAGCAACCCTCTCACACACCCTACACTGACCACTGTCTGTCCTCCAGCTAATCCGATATCCACTGGCTCCAGGAACAGGTCCCCAGGCCACTCTCACTCGAGTTGCATCTGATGCCACAACCCTCAGCCCTGGGATGGCGAGTGAGGCTTCTGGCTCTGGGGGTTTAAGACAGAGGTCAGAGATCAAGACCAGGACCCAGTGAGTCAGGCAGCTGGCCCCCACAACCCTCCTGCAGTGCTCACCCCGGCGGATAGTGAGGATGCTGGCATTGCCCTCTCGGGTGCCCACTCGAGCAGACACCCGCACGATGTAGCTCAGCCCAGCCCGGACATCATCCAGGTCAAAGGCTGTCTGACTCCCGGGAAGCACCAGGGTCCGCTCAACCCCTAAAGGAGAAGACAGGGTAAGCAGGCAGGGGTCTGCCACAGGGATGTGGGATGATGGTGGTCAGTGATGGACAGAGACACAGGATGAAGAGGGTCATTGAGGGATGGGCCATGGGATGAAGAGGGTCAGAGATGAGGACATGAGAAACAAGGAGCCAGTGATAGCAAGGGCCAGTGACAAAGGGGAATACAGGATGATAGAAGTCAGTGGACAGTGATGTGAGTTGACAGGTGGTTGATAGTGATGTGGGGTGACAGGGGTCAGTATGAGATGAGGACATGGGCTGAGAGGTCAGTGTGGACAGTGGTCACAGCTAGGGTTAATAGAAGGGCAGGGATTGAGCTCATAGTTGTGGAGAAGGGTGACAACCACAGACGAGTGTGGCAGGAAGTGGAGACTGATCTGGGTGGAACAGAGCAGAGAGCAGCAGACCCTGTGACGGGTCTGGACTCTGCTATCTTTGGGTGGATGGACAAGGAGACAGGGGGAGACTGTGGAGACCCAGCAGAGGAAGGAGATGGGGTGGGGGTGCAATCAGACCCCGAGGGCTGGAGCTTTAGTGTGTGTGTGAGGGCGGTGGTGGTGATGGCTGTGTCCACCTCACCCTGGGTGCCGCGCACAGTAATGCGGTACTCGGTGGCACTGGGAACTGGACTCCAGGACACTCGCACCCGCTGCCCTGGCAGCTCAGTCGCCTGTAGGTCTGTCACGGGGCCCACAGGCTGCTCCGACCCTGTTGGGGAGCACAGCATGAGAGGTAGCCTGGAGCTCCTGTGCCTTCCCTTCTCCCCTGGCCAGGCCCACTGAGCCCTCACCAATGGGGACCACAGTTGCAGGTGTTGCCACCTCTCGGCCCTCCAGCAGAGTGTAGAGTGTGAAGCGATACTCAGTGCCTGGCTGCAACCCATCCAACTGGTAGTGGGTCACATCAGAGGGCAACACCACCTTCTGTGGCACCTCCAAGCCTGCAAGATGACGGGTCAGGCCGGCTGAAGCCAAACCCAACCCTGCCTGCCCACCCTCCCTTCTGCACTGACCACTCTCACGATGCCACTCCAGTCGGTAGCCAAGGGCCTCAGGTATCACATTCCAGGAAAGAAGGATGGATGTGGGGCCCAGGATGACCGGGCGCAGTGTCTGCTCAACCGAAGTGTCTGCCCAGGGTGCATGGGATGTCAGTGGCCTCCATGCCCTGTCTGCCTGCCCACCCAGCCTGAAGAAAGTACCCAGACTTCTCACCAGTGCGGGCAGTCAGGGAGCTGGCAGACCCCACGCTACGGCCAAGCAGGGCACTCACAGTCACCTCATAGTCTGTGCCAGGCTCCAGGTCACGAAGCAACACTGACCCCTGCCCAGGGCCCAGCTCCTGCTGCATGGCCCTACCTATACGAGGCACACAGAGGGGCAGTGGGTCTTACACACTCAGGACTCTACAATCCTGTCTGAGGTGTAGGGGTTCCCTCAAACCACACCTCTCACTCACCACCGAGGGCCCGCCATGTCACACGGTAGCCAGTGGCGCCTGGCACACTCCTCCAGGCCACCAGGAGGCTGTGGGTTGTGCTGTTCTGGATGGTCAGCTCTGGCCCCTCCAGGGCAGCTGGGGGAAGGTCCCACCAGGGATTAGTGGAGTCAGGAGTGGGGAAGGGTTACTGGGTGGGTGGTTAGGGGGATGGGGTCAGAGGTTAGCAGAATTGCTCACTGGTCCAAGCTGTCCCGCTCACAGCCTCCGCGATGCTGTTGGCATAGAGGGCAACCACAGTTACTTGGTAGTTGGTCAGTGGCTGGAGACCCTGCAGCCGCACGCTGGTCTCACCAGCTGGAACGTTCACCTGCCCAGGGTCAGAGGTCACTTCATTTTGCCCAACCAATTCCCCAGCCCTCAACCCACCACTCCTGACACCTTTACCTCCCGCTGCTCACTCAGCAGTGGCTGTCCCAACCCTGACAAGGGAGTGTACTGGACCTTGTAGCCGGTCACAGGGCCACTGGCTGCTGTCCACTGTACTTTCAGGGATTGACTGCCTGGCTCAGACAGCACCAGGTCTCGTGGAGCAGAGGTCGGGACATCGGCTAGGAAAGAGGAAATCAGGCTGCAGGATCAGGGACCAGCACTTACGGTGAGGCTTTGGGATCAAGGGTCAGGATCACAGGGGGCAGGGTCAGCACCTCCAGGGCAGGATCAGAGGATAGCACCCCCATTTTGATTCAGGACCACACGGGGTGGGGTTGGGGTTGGAGGCCCAGGTCAGGGTACACAAGGTAGGCAGGGACTCACGGGGCAGGGTCACAGGCACGCCACCAGCGGACGTGCACACTCTCCGGGAAACGAGAGGCAGCAGCGTCCTCAAGATGCTGAAGTCATTGACGAAGAAGAAGAAATCGCTGCTTGGCTGTGAGGCAACTCGCTTCAGCTCCTCGGGGTCAGCATTCTTGATCCCTGAGGTGAGTCCAATCAGGGCTCAGCTGCCCACATGCCCTCTGACTGCTCCTTCCTCAGTCAACCTGTCACCCCAGCTGGATACTCACCCACAGCAAACAGCTTGACCCCTTGTCCCTTCAGCCTCTGGGCAGCTGTATCCACCAGGTCCTGGGACTTCCCATCAGTGATGAGGATGCAGACCTACGCAGGCGAAGGGGTCAAGTCAGGGTTGCCTCAGACACTTAAACTGGGGTCACCCTGGGAGGCATGGTGGAGAGAAAGATCACCTTGGGGACACCAGGTCGGGCCAGCTGGGGCAGGAAGACATGATCTGCCACGTGGAGAATCGCAGCCCCTGTGCGTGTGTTGCCCCCCTTGTAGCTGAGCTCACGGATGGCACGGATCACATCACCCCCTGAGCCAAGCGCATCCAGGCCAAACTCTGTCCTGTGGGGTGGGGGGGCAGGCTAGGGGTCAGGATCTTCTCTGGCACCAGTCTCTAGGAGGCCGCTGGAATGAGGGCTGTGAGTATCAGGTCCCCTTGAGGGTCCTCTTGGTCCTGTGATTCCTGTCCTCCACCTCTGAAGCCCCAAGTTAACAAACTCTTCAGGTGCCCCGTGTCCTGTCTGTGGCTGGGCCAGAGCAGGCCTGCAATCCTTGGGGCTTCCAGCCTCAGGGGATAGGATGTCTGGTTAATTAAAGAATTGCAAGAGGAAGGGCCCAGTTGTAGGGAGGTGGATGATGGCCAGACAGGAAGGCCCTCGTGTGCCTGGAGAGCCTGGAGGCATCAGGGGCTAGAACATGGGGAGTCCAGCAGGCATGGGGCATCTAAAGCCCTGGGCCCCCTCCTGGGCTCTCCATATTCAGATAAGGATACACAGCCCCAGGCTTTGGCAGGGTACTGGGCTGGAGGTGTCTCAGGTACCAGGGTTCCACCTGGGAGATCCCTGCTCTGTCTCCAGAGGTTGTCCTGGCTGAGGGGTTCTGGGTTCCCCAAAGCCTGGCCTAGGGACTTTGGGGATCTTCGCTCCTGCTCAGGGAGGGGTCCTGGTGGGATCTCTGGGCCCCCAGCTCCCGCAGCCACTCACCGTGGCTCGTCGCTGTACTGCACAGCAGCGAAGCGCACGCCCTGCACACCGGCTGCTCTGGAGAAGGGCAGCACCAGCCCCTCAAGGAAACCCCGCACTTCGCGGAAGTTGCCACGGCCTATGGACGAGGAGCCATCGAGCAGGAACACGATGTCAGCGGCATAAAGGCGCGTGCAGGTCACTGGAGCAGGGAAGAACAATCACCACCTCTTCTTGGAATCCATCCCCTCGCCCCTCTCTGGTCCCTCGGGACTAGCGGCTCCAGCCGGCAGTAGCCCTCCTCCGCTCTTCGACCCTGCAATCCGGCCGGCGGGGGCGCTGGGGCCTGGGGCCTTGGCGGAGCCATGGTGGTACTGGGAGACAACCCCCAACCGCCCCTCGCCCCGCGGAGGGCTGGTGGGGAAGGAGAGTTGCCTGCACAGGAGCGGATCTGGGATTGAGGTTGGCCTTGGCAGGTCAGCACGGAGAGACATAGGTGGGAAGCCCAGCACGCATCTGGGGACTCAGAGTTTGGGTCTGCATAGGTTAAAGTGAGGTTTGGGAGACCAGCAGCGGGTTGCAGGTTTGGGGAGTCCAGAGACTTAGGAGGCCTGTGCTCAGGGTGTGGGGCAGGGTTCGGACCCGGGAGGAAGACAGTGCAATCGCAGGTGTCAGGGTGTAGTGCCCTGACTCGGGTCCTTCCTTGCCCTGCCCACCTCTCTCCCTTTGCTGGGCTCGCACTCCGGGCGCCCCTGCCAGGATCCCAGCGCAGAGCGTGGCCACCAGGAGTCGCAGCCTCATCCTGGGTGGGGGAAAAAGTCAGCCAGGACCCCTGCCTCTGTCCCTGGGCACCCCCCGCAGCCTTGGCAGGTCCGAGCCCAGTGCACCCCAACCCCCAGTCCCAGTCTTGCCTGCTGGTCCAGGGCCGGCTCCTGCCACCAGCCGCTGCCGCCCGTCCTGCAGGGAACCGCAGCAGAGAAAAGTCCCTAATCTGGGGGGCGGAGCTACAGGCGGGACGCAGGGGCCCGCCTCCACCCACCATCCCAGAGGTCGCCGCCCCCACCACCCCTTCCCTGGACAGATGATCTGACTCCACTTAAATGTAAAGCCCCCCACGTCCTGTGGCTTCTGGGAATCCCCCCAGAAGGTTCTCTACAGAGAGAAGCTGGGGGAGCCCTTTTCAACCCCATCTGGGGTGTCAGAGGTCTTGGCTGCTTTAGATCAAAGAGTGTGACTAGAATTCCCATAGGTTCCTGGGGACTGAAGAGGCAGCAGGATGGGGGGAGGGGGGTTGCAGCTGGAAATGACTCACCCACCCACCCTATGGGGGGTGCCTAGACAAGCCCTCAGGCCATGAGTCCCGCCGGCCACTCCTGTGATTCAACCATTCCTCTGTCTGTTGGGTTGGTCTCCTGTGCCGCACCCTGATCCCCTTGAGAAGAGAGCAGCCCCCAGCAAATAAGGGCTCTGAGCTCACCCCAGGGGAAACCAAGGCACAACTGGGCTGCACCCAAGTAATGCCCTCTCCCCCTTTGGAGAAGGAAGCCAGGAGAAAATCTGTGTCATGCTTATGCATATGTGTTCATCCCAGTGCCCTGTATCCCCCACTATACCCTGAACCCGGTCCAGACAGATGCCATCCAGCTGTGACTACAGGGAGGGGCTATCCGTGTTCAGAGGTTGGGACCACCCACAGTGACAGCTCATTTCTCAGGAATTCACCCGTCCTGCCTACATCCCCCTCCCCCGTCCTGCCTCAGGCCAGGTCCCCCTACCTCCATCTCTTCATTCTGTCCTGACATAGTCCCATCCAATCTGCTCGCCTTGAAGATCCACTTCCATCCACCATCCCACCAGGCCCAGAGGTCACCTGGGCTTCTCTTCTTGCCCTCAAGGTCCACCTCTAGCTTCCACCTTCTTAACTACCCTTGCCTGCTCCACCCCTCTCCCCTTAACTAGCCTGACTTCCCACTTGTCTCCTTCAACTGGCTTCCGTGACTGTGGACAGGCCCCCAACAGCCCTCCCCAGGCCGGGGCCACTATCCTGAGGAGGTAACTCTTTGTATGTGCATATCTGTTCATTAGAGAGGGGGACACCAAGGCAGAGAGGTACTCCCAAGAATGCAGGCCCCTTTTTAGTTTTCCCTGCCAGGCCTGGATAACTCTGGGTAGCCCTCTACACTCACCGCTGCTACTGAGCCCCTTCCGACATGCTTGGCCCCTCAGCCTTCCCTGGGAGTCCACAGGCTGAGAGGGAGAGGTGCCCCCTGAACTCCTCCAGGGCCTGAGGCTTTGGGGATAGCCAGGGCTGGGGACCAGGAAATCCATCTATGTTGCCTGTTGTCCTATTACCTTTTATCACTGACTCCTCCCCCTAATTATCCTGAGATGTGGTGTAGTGCTGTGACCCATAGGACCCAGAACCTTTTTCCAAGGTCAAGGTCTCAGCCATATGCCAGGACCCTCCTTCCCTTGAGCTGTCCCACAGGCGAGGGCAGCAGAGAACCAGACATGTTCTTGCAGAGGCAGCCCTGCCCCAAGACCCTCCCCTTCTCTTGCACAGCACGTCCAGTATAGGCGTAAGTGTGGGTCAAGCTTTTAGGGGAGACTTGAGGCCCAGCTGAGAGGGTGTTCAGGCAAACCTCATCAGAACCATGGGGGGCCCCCAAAAGAAGAGCAGGCTGCCTCTGTGAGGGGTCACTGGAAGACTGCTGAAAGGCTGCTAGGGAGGTAGAAGCAAGGCTTGGCTTGAGCAGTCTGCAGCTCCTGGGAGGCTCAAGAGCAGGGGTGGGGTCCTCTGAGGCCCTGGCTCCCACTCCTGGCAGGACACAGCCCGAGGCCAGTGCCCTCTATCAGGGCAGTGGGGCCCCAGAGCTCTGTCCTCCCTCCCACACTCCCCTGGACATTTCCTTCTCTGGCTTCAGTCACCACCGCTGCCAGATGGCACCATATCTGCTTCCAACTGGGGCCTCTCTTCAGAATTCTAGCCCCACACATGCCACTGTCTTGGACATTCCAAATTTCTCCCAGAACCATGGCCAAAAAAAAGCTGGGAATGCTGTCCTGCTTGTGCCCCAACCCCCCCGAGTCCACTCCAGTTCTTCCTACAGCCATGACGTCCGCTCTGCCACAGCACAGCTGTCCAGGATGCCCCGGAAATCCAGCCTGCAAGGCCCCAAGCTAAATCTCAGGCTGACCAAGTCACCTCTTCTCAGTAACTTCCAGGCCCCTCCCCACATGCCTCCACAGGCAAGATTCAACTCCTTGGTCTGGTTTGAAGGTCCGGGAGCTCCAGCTGTCATGTCCAACACACCTGGAGCCTTTGAGGGTCTGGCCTGGGCTTAAAAATCAAGTTCCATCCCTCAGAAGCTCCAACTTAGGGCAGCAGACTTAGTACTTGCTATTCCCACAGCCTGGTGTGCAGAATCTGTGAGCAGGGGTGGCCAGTCAGGTTTCTGCAGTCCACAGCTTCCCTCCAGTGGTTACAATGTTGGAGGATCTGAGTCCCCCAACCCTGAGTTCTAGAAACATTTGACAATTACTTCCTAATTGTCAACTTGTGGCAACATATAGGAGTGAAGGAAAAGCACTGGGATTAGGTGGAGTGGGGGGGGGGTGAGTCAAGGGCTGTCTGGCTACTGAGGCTGGGGTGCTGGGCCTTCTGGACAGTCCTCTTCTCAACAACCCTGGACCCAGGACCCTGCTAAGGATTTTCAGCAGTACCTTCCTCATAGGAGAATCAGGCCCCTCATTTCCATTTCCACCCTGGGGCTCCCAGGAAACCTGATTGCAGAAGGGATAGGGGGTGCAGGAAGAGGGGCCTACCTGCCTGGACCAGGGCCCATAGGTAGCAAGGGAACTAGACAGCTGAGCTCCACCAGGTCCTGGCTGCCTCAGGATGAGGAGGGGATCCTTGGGCCAGCAGCTCAGGACTTGTCTGGGAGAGACCTAGTCCAGGGAGGGGGTTCGGGTCCCACTGAGCTCAGGGCTATTCTTGGAGCCTGAGTCAGCAGCAAGCAAACCGAGGCAAAGGATTTTCTGTCCTGCCTGTCCAGGCAGCAGTTAGAAACAAAATGGGAACATAATGCCCCAGGCTATCCTCCTCCCAGAATCCAGAGTAAACATATGAAGGTGGCTTCCTGAGGGAGTCCTTGGTCCCTCTTGATCCATCTGGGGGACCAGGCACCAGAGGGTGACTGCACAGGACCCACAGCAAGGGGTTTCCCACATGAGCCTCCCAAGTCCCCAGGTGGGACCTCCATCAGGGCAAAGGCTGGGTGTGCAGTTCCCATGGACTTCCCTACCTCGCTCTTGGGGCAGACTGGCCAGGAGCATCCCCCCTCCATGTGGCTAAGTGGGAACATCTGGCCTCGGCTCCCTGCAGGCCTCAAAGGCTTCCGGCCTCCCTGCTGCAGGCCCCAAGCTTGCCCCTGGCTGAGGACACATCAGCTTGTGGGAAGGAAGAAGGATCCAGGGCATACAGAACTGGGGGCTAAGTCCCCGCACCCGCACCCATTGCCCAGTGGACTCCATGCAGAGGCAGACAGGACAACGCAGTTATCAACGCAGGGCTTTATTGGTGGTGGCGTGCAGCACAGGTCTGAAGAGCTGAGGTGGCATGTTTGTGGTGGGAGGACCGTGAACCCGGGCCCCTCCTGCCTACACAGGCTTCCTGCCTAGAAGCGCAGCCAGAACATGCCGCTACGGATCCGGTTGTAGTCGGGGAGCTGCTCAATGGGGCCTGTAGGGATAGGGTGGGGCGTCAGGGTGGGGTACCTGGCTGGTACAGGGACACCTGGCCCTGCGCCGCACCCAATTTGGAGCTGCCCAGAGCAGCACAAGACAGGCTTTGAGTGGAAAGAGAGAAAGAACATTCCTCCAGGGGTGCTGAGCCTGTCCCTTCATGCTCTGGCCCTCCGGAACCCCACCCCACACACGGAGGTGTCCGTTACCTGGTGGGTGTCGGGTACTGATGGAGGCACCTTGGCAGGGAGTCAGGGAGCTGCTGGGACAGGTTTTCTGAGCAAGAACTCCCTGGCAGCCAGACTATGGGCAGAGCCTCTCTGGGGCCTCAACTGGCTGCTCCCAGTGTAGGATGGGGGATGGGGGAGGCCAAAAGAATGGCCCGAGGAGAAAGACAAAGAGCAGGTCTTCAGCTAGCTTACTTACCCACTGCAGCCACTGCTGGACACTGGTCATAGAAGTACCTGGAACAGACCTCACGCACTACATGGGCATCCACCTCCTGCAGAGCGAAGCAGAAGGCACACTGACTGACAGGCACCTGGGACCACCTTAGCCAGTTAAGATTATCCAGCCAACCGAGACAGGGCTCTCCATCCCCACAGCCAGTGCCTCTGCCTGCCCTCCTTTCCCCTCCAATTATGCCAGCCCTGCCCAGGACACCAGGGGGCCTCAACCGCCCGCCCTCTCCCAGGGGCCCATTACCGCAATCCGGCTTTCCCACTCGGCCAGGGGGATGCGGCGGCCATAGGTTAGGAGACTGCGTCCAATGTCCTCACACACAGGAGTGGTGCCTGCAAGGGTGGAGGAGTAAGGCTTACAAGTCCACCCAGTCCATCCTGGACCCTGGGCCCACACCCAAACGCCAGCTTCTGGCTGACACCTGAACCTTGGTCTGACGCCAGATCACAACCCTCATTTCTACAACAACCTGTCACTGTAGTACTAGGCTGTTGGCCTGGCCCACCCACCCATTATCTGAAGCTCTAAGCCCCGGTGGGTGGGGGTGGGGTATGGTGTAACCTTCGAAGTTTTCCCTTCCAATCTTGGTTAGGAAT